AGTGTCTGCCCTCAAGAAGCTAACCGTATATTGAGGGATAAAATCTGTACATATATAAGTCATATATATCTAAGTATGTGTGTGTGTATGTAGGTGTACATGTATATATACACCTACATACACACATATACATATGTATTGTAAATAATGATTATACATCTTATAAACAAAATCCATAAAATATACGTGAAGTAAATGCAAGGCACGTGTAGGTAAGAGGCACACACAGCTGAGGGCAAGGGGTCCTTACAATTTGGTCCTTACAAGGCAGTGAGGTGGTTGCTACTCTTATTCCCATTATACAGATGAGGAAGCTGAAGCTAGGAGAAGTTCCATGATTTGATCAAATCAGGTGAACATTTACAAACCTGAAAACACCATGTAAATGCTAACAGTTGCTGCTGCTGTTCTCATGATTGCCAAGGGCCATATAGCTAGGAGGTGTCTGATTCCTACCCAAGTCTTCCTGACTCCCTCTTTTACGCCACACTGCCTCCTTCACATATACCCTGTGCAATGACTTCAGAGGCTTGAGGGATTTAGGGCTGAGGGGAGTTTTAAAATCTGGTAGAGTATGTTATTTCCCATGAAAACCAAGCGCTGAAGAGAATAATTGAGAGCCTTTAAACGTTGGGCTTTGACCATTTAAAGACCTCCCAGAGCTTAGAGGGTCCTTAATGATCACAGTCCAACTCCTCCCTCTCCCATCTCCTCTTCAAGTTTTTGGGAGGAAAACCCCTCTCTATTCTCATCTCTCTACGTCGATCGCAGTATGTTCTCTTTCCTTTTTAAGACAAAGGAATGGACTAAATAACCTTTTAGGACCTTCTCAACCCCGCAGTTCCAGAATCTGAGTGATATTTTTACATGATACTATGCTGGTGCTAGGAATGGGATTGTTTTTCTTTTAGCAATGCCGCCCTCTTGTGGCCTCGATGATCAGAGCACATTCTGCTCCTTGACTTGGACCACAGCAAAATAACACCGGGAAATTTGCAGTGAAACGTTCAAAGGGACGGTGTTCCCAGGGTCACGGGACTGAAAGGGACTCCAGCAGTCTTCTAGTCCAACCCACAGCAGAAAAGGAATCCCCACTGCGATAACACTCGGTGCTATTATAGCCCGTGAAGGTTTCTAAAGCGCTTGACTTATCTCATTTGACCCTCACGACCTTGTGAGGCAGGAGCTGTCATTATTCCCATGTTACAGATAAGGAAGCAGAGGTTTAGAGAGAACGGTCATATCACTTGCCCAGGGTCACACAATTAGGCGGTGCCTGAGGCAGGATCTGAACTCAGGACTTCCCAAGTCCAGTACCCTCAGGCGCATTCCACATATAGCTTCTACTTGAAGGCCTCCAGTGAAGTACCTCCCATTGGACAAACAGTCATTCAATTCTCGCCAATGGGAATCTCGCACTTCTAAATGGCAGCTTTTCTGCTCTCAGCGATGCACAGCGTTAGGAGTGGAAAGGGCTAAACTTGGGGCACGAAACCGGGTTTGGAAAAAGAAGCCTGGCTCGGCCACTTACCAGGTGACCTTGAGCAAGTCACCCCTCCAAGGCTCCAAGGTTTCATCTATAAATTGAGCAATTTTGAGGTCAATGGCCTCAAACGTTCCTGCCCAACCCTGCCATGTTCTTGGCTCCAGTTTTAGAGAAGAAAAAAAAATGGTGTGATCTCCCCGACTGAGAGACAGCAGCCAGGTAATGGGGAACCAAGTGGTCTGAGTAGTTGGGTTTGGGCCTTTGGAGAGCATATGTCTCCGAAGGCAGCTAGGGGGCACAGTGGCTAGGGAGCTAACCCTAGGGTCAGGAAAACCTGAGTTCAAATCTGGCCTCAGACACTTCCTAGCTGTGTGACCTTGGGCAAGTCACTGAATCTCTCTCAGCCTCAGCTTCCCCATCTCTAAAAAGGGGATTATAATAGTATCCACTTCCCAGGGTTGTTGTGAGGATAAAATGAATTATTTGTAAAGTATTTTACAAACCTTAAATCCCTATATAAAAGTTAGCTGTGATTATGATGATCATGACAGGGAGGCCCAGAGAGAGGAGATGACTTGTCCAACGTCACACAGCTAATTAATGACAGACCATGAATGAGAGCCATAGATCTAGAGCTAAAGGGTCCTCAGAGGACACCTGGTGCACCTCCCTCGCTTTACAAATGAGGAAACTGAGGCTCAGGATGGGGTTGTGTCTTGCCTACCTTGAGCCTCAGAGGAGAGATTCAAACCCAAGCCAGCCGACTCCAACCCCACATGTTCTTTTTGACCTGCTGGTCCACCATCCAGCATTCCCTTCCTGTGTTTCACCCTGCTTTAAAAAGCCTCTTTCTATAGGAACCCACCTCCAAGGATGCGTGCACAATCGGCAGGAAAAGAGACTCTTAAATATGAGGCTGACATTGCCGTGCAGCATCTCTGCCACCCATCTTTAGAAAGAAAAGACGACACGGTGGGGAGCAGAGAATCGCGACCCTGACATCAGGAGGCAGGGTTTCAAATCCTGGCTCTGACTGCACGAGCGGGGTGATTACAGACGATACCTCAACACACCTCTTCTGTACAATGAGATTCAAATACTGCCGCTGACCCTCATAATCTATGTAACCTTGGACAATTGGCTGAACTGCCTCAGGGCTCAGTCTCCTCATCCGTAATAAGGGCCTCCAAAATCCCTTCTAACTCCAGACCTAAGATCCTATCAACTTGCTCATGGCCACACAGCCAGAGGCAGGATTTGAACCCAGGTCTTCCTGACTCCAAGGCTGGTCTTCTATCCATCGTGCTAAACTAGTTCTTGCTATATACCTAGTAGATATGTAACAAATTAAATTTACTTTAGTAGACATCTATTTAAAACCTCTGCGTTTGTCGATTAATTGAATTTCCAGCCCTCGGCAGCTCCCAAGTAGCCTGACATCATGGGAGCGTGCCCTTGTTTGACCCACTTTGAGAAAGAATTCCAACCTGGTTTGTGACTTGCGGCCAAATTAACAGCGAGACTCCCCTAGGTCTGCAGTCCTGCAGGAGCCTACCCCACACGGCTGGTCGTCTTGTGCTTAGCTCAGTTAGAGAATTTGAGGGAACAGGTTCATTTTCCTACTCAGGGAGCACGGAATCTGCAGGCCCCAGCAAACCTGGACCACGTCCATCATACAATTCCCACCAAAATCAATTACTGGGAAGTTTTAGAGGAAAGTTGGTTCAGAGAAAACCAGAGTAGCACCTGACATCCCCTGCGGAGCAGGATGGGAAGAACTCTCAGTGGTTTATTCCATACCGACGTCTATCATTAAGAAAAGTGTCATTGCGTCATAGTCACTGAATAGCTAGCATGTTAGATAGCCATAGTACAGCTAAGCCAATGGACCGAAGAGGTGCTTTCTACCATCGACGATTTTACACTTTGAAGAATAAAGATGTGACAGATAAGGGCCTTAGTTTCCTCACCTGTAAAGCGAGGGAGTCGGTCTAGGATGACTTCTGAGTTTCCAGTTCTAAATATTGATCCTAGATTCCTTCCTCTCTAGAGTGCCTGTTAGTAATTTATGTCCTACTGTTTAATGGCATATCCAGGGGTTGTGGAAGGTTCTTACCCAGACTATGAACACGTGTACTGAGTAACCTTCATTTAACTTCTGTGTGGACAAGCACCGTCAGGGAGGAGGAGATTAAGAGGGAATCTTAAACTCTCATTCAGGAAGGCTCTCAGGATCCAGGGCTAAAAGGAGCCTTAGAGTTCATCTCACCCAACTCTCATGGTATTCCGGGCTTCTTAAACTTTGATACTCAAGCATTTCTTCATTCCACTCTGGGTTGTGGCCCCATGGGTCTTGACCCACCCTTTAAGAAGTGCTGGCTAGATGAGGAACCCAAGGTCTAGACAGAAAACATAACTCACCCATGGGTGCCAAGTGGAAGAGGCAGAATCGGGAGCCAGGCCCTTTGGCCACAAAGCTGGCTTCAGGTCCATACATGAAGCTTCTTCTTAGACTGTGTCTTCATCATCTGACACATGTCACCAATAGAAGGAGTTTGTCTGGTGTGTATGGGATCATAGAATCATGGGATTTTGGAGCTAGAAGAACCTCGGGGAACAAAGACAGAGAGCTCTGGGCCTGGAGTCAGAAGACCTAGTTTTGAGCGTTGACTCTGCTACATAGAGCTGAATGACTCTTACCGAGTTGCTCTCTGCCCCAGCTGTGGGTGCGAGTCCTTGCTCTCTCCTTTACACTAGTGTGTGACTATGGGAAAGTGAAATGATCTCTCTGGAGTTCAGTTTTCACATACATGAAAATGGGAATAATAATATCTGTACTACCTATCTCATGGGGTCGCTGTAAGGGGAAAGTACACCATAACTCTATAAAGCCACATATTCAATTCAATTCATTTTGACCACCACTTATTTGGCTATCACTATATGTGTCGGGCCTATTGCTAAGAGATGGGGATACAAGAGAGAAAAATCAAACTGTTCCCATCCTTAAGAAACTTATGTCCTACTGTGGAGGAATCACACGTACACGGGTAAGTACATACAGGATAAATACAAGTAATTTTAGATTGGACCAACAGGAGGGGCCCAAGGGAGGTCCAGGACAGATCTCCTGCTGGAGGGGCTACCTACGCTATGCTTTGAAAGTTATGCGTAGTTCATCGATATGTAAGTGGGATGTGTTGTTACACCATCATCTAGTCTTGATAAACGTGGGCCTCAGTTTCTTCATCAAGGCCCCTTCTATCACTAAATACTTTGTCCCTGTGTGCCTCCAAATAATTGTTTTATATTAGATTGCCTTCAAGCCATCAAACAATGTTATTCCATTACACTTTTATCATTACAGGATCTCTGATTTAGAGCAGGAAGGGACCTCAGAGGCTATAGTTTTATAACTTTAGTGGAGGTGAAAGAAAAAGAAGCTTGGGTAACTTTGACCTTTTGCTTGAGAAGAACAAAATCTCATGGTGTGCATGTGTTTGATCTTCCATAGAAATTGTCCGAGCGATGACCCATGTGATAAACCAGGGGATGGCCATGTACTGGGGCACATCAAGGTGGAGTGCTATGGAGATTATGGTAATTTGACTTCTTCTCTGAAAAAGCCATTACAGTTTCTTTTTTTCAAACATCTGTTATCCTATGCAAATCATCTACTGAAATCTGAGTGTGAATTTGGAAATGATTTGTGTCTACTATCTATGTGAGTACCTTCCCAGCATGGGAATTGCCTCTGCCACTGCAGGAAGCTCCATTCCATCTAAGACATAGTAAGTGGATGGGTCCTTGCCTAAAACATACAGAGGTTCAATGACTAGTTCCAGATTAGCCACTAAGTGTCAAAGGGTCTGGGTCTTTATGATACCAAGACTAGTACTCTATCCATTACAATACACTGCCATCAAAATCAAGTTTAAAAGCTGAAAATGACCATATCTCAAGCAGCTAATTCCATCATGATTTAGCATCAGGGAAAGATTCTTTTCTTTTCTTAAAGCTAACTTTATTACAGAGGACATAATATAAAAGGAAGGTCCTAACACAAAGGAAGCCTGTTCCTCAGTCTGTTATGGCTAAATGGTAGTAACAAGAACCATACTCAAAGATCGCTGATCCTTGTTAGCAAAAGGCTAACAGGAATATCACGTTCACAGGCCTTAGGGGTGCGGTGTTATGAGTTTCTCAAAAATAAACATAAATGGTATGAAATAACAACTATGTCACTCAAGAATATGTGATAGCACAGGAAAGAAAAAAAAAATGGTATAGTCACTTCTAGACAGCGAGGTCTTTATTATCCCTGAAAGAAAGAACTGTATCTTACAAGTTTTAGGAAAGTCATAGGTATTGTTTCGCTGGTCTTGAATAAATTAATTTTTAGACTTCAAACTATGACAACCTGTCTAGGCTCTTTGCTCAGTCAAATAGAGAAGATAGACCTAACAATAGACCCACCTTGTTAATGCTATGAAGAATGGGCGTGGCTGTTCTGTTCATATCTGAAAAAAATCCCTGGCCCTAAGTAGAGGATATGCTGTGCTGCTAATGGAGCCTTGCTGCTGCAGCATTTCTGTTTTCAAGGATTTGTTCATCCAGAAGGTCCATCAACCCCTAGCGCTCTCTCTCCCTCCCTCCCTCCCCCTTCTCTCCCAACCCCCTTCTATTTATCTGTCTCTGTGTCTTTCTCTCTGTCTCTGTCTGTCTCTCTCACACACACACACACATACACACATAGACACACATGGACTCACCTACATGTACAATGTGTTTATTCATACATACATACATACACACACACTGTGATTTCCACAGTGTAGGAAACCCCACATGTAGACACTCCCTCCATCAACAATAATCCTTCTCATCTGTAGCTTATAGTCCTAGAGAATTTCCTAGGGGAATTAGAGGCTCAGTGACTTTTCCAGGGTCACACCACACAGATGTGTCAGAGGTAGGGTTAGCACAAGGCTGCTTGACTGCAAGGTAGCCCCTCTATACTTGATACCATTCATATAGGGTTCATAATCAGTGCAAGTCAATGAGCACACTTAACAAGTAGTCTGGCTGTGGTGATCAAAGGAGAAGTTCTGTTGAATGCTTCACAGACTCCATTATAATGTTGGTGGCTTCCTAGAGAGTCTCATTTTCCCGAGTCCTTTTATACAAGACCCCCAAAAGATATGTACAAAGTCTGCTTTCTGAGAGGACCGCCTTGTGTCTCCTTGTCTATGGCCTGGCATGCCTGGCTCAACTAAGATGTGTTTCATAAGTTGGAAAGAAGACTGGAAATACAGTCAAAGGCTCTGGGTTCAGACACTAGTTCTGTGGTTGACAAAGGTCAAGTTTTTCTGCCTCTGTGAGCCCATGTTACTAATCTGTAAAATGAGGAATTTGGACTAGACAGTTTTTAAGGTCCAATGCTGAAACTATGATCCGTTTCCCCTCTGTGTGATGTCTTCTTCTGGCCAGAGGTTTAGCTGTAAAGACTTCTCACCTGGGCAAACGGCCTTGATGGTTTGGGCCAATCATTGGTAATTCTACATTTCCATACAGACTGACAACAAACAAAATCTCACAAATTCTCAGAAATACACACATAGTCTGAAATTAACATCATTAATATAATTGGCTATTTAATCTATTAAAATTTAACAAACAGCACAAAGATATATCTAAATATTTCAACAATGTATTTCAGTAAGAAAATTAATTCACGGCTACAGAGTTAGCTCTAACTATCAGCTGTGACTTCAGGCTGCAGATATGGTCCCACCATTGGGCTCTGTCAGTATGGCAGGCAAAACTCCTCTCAAGCATTCTCTTTACAATGTTTCTTCTCAAGATAAGAGTTAGATTCAGTTACTTCAGAAAGTCTCTTCATTCTCTCTTAAAGATGTCATCTATTGAAGTCTCTCAAAGAAGTTCCCTTTCTTAGTCCTTTGTTCCTGCCTTGAAACAATCTCTTTCAGCTGTGAAAGTAAAATCTCGAGATGAGAGCTAAAATGACTCCTTCCAAAGATTGTATTTCCCTCTCTCTCTTTTTTTTTTTGGCAATTGGGGTTAAGTGACTTGCCCAGGGTCACACAGGTAGTAAGTGTCAAGTGTTTGGTCTGAGGTCAGATTTAAGCTCAGGTCCTCCTGACTTCAGGGCCGGTGCTGTATCCACTTCACCACCTAGCTTCCCCAACATCAATTAATTTTTTAAAAATTTTATTGGACTTCCATTTTATTCTGGATTATGAGAACCCCCCTTGACTCTCTTCACCCACACACTGCTACATTTGTCAAGGAGAACCCTTCTTTGGATTTTCCTAAGCTGAACTTTAGACTTTCAAATGTGTGGTACAGTGAGCATAGGACTGGCTCTGAGGCAAAGGACTTGGTTTCAAATCCTGCCTCTGATTCTTGTTCCCTGTGTGAAATGTCTTTCCCTCCCCTATCCCAGACCTCAGTTCGTTAAAACATGAAATGAGATAGTCAGACAAGGTGACTGCTGATGTCCCTTCCAGTTCTAGGTGAATAATCCTATGACCCTCGGACTCTTAGAAATTTATATTTGAAAAACTCCCATCAGAAAATACTTTGATGGAGAATTACAGTTTACTTAAGGAGTTTTCATATATGAGGGTCACATTGGTTGGCAAAAGCTTCACTGCAATGGCTGCAAGCAAATAGCCTGAGACAAATCAGCTTATGTGAAGGATGTGCTTCCATCTAAATTCACATGTGGGAATCACTAGCAATGAGGCACCATTTTCCATTTTTCATTACTGAGAAAGCAAAGGAATCATTGGGAATTGGACTTTCCATTGTGAAGTTGGGGGAGGGGGTTCCTGACACACAGGATGTTGCAAAGTTTGTCCAGTTTATAAGAATTTTGTGTAATAAAAACCTTGGAAGGAACCTCAGAGATTGTCCACTTCCTGCCCTTGTTTAGAGATAAGTAATAAAGTGAGTATCAAAGAAGTGGATTTAATTGGTCAGGTTCACATCCACCAGGGGATTAGAACTCATTCAGACTTAACCCATTAGAAATTAGAACTGAATCTCGACTATGGGGATTCTTTAGGTAAGTCTCATAGAGAGACAACTTCATGAAGTAAATAATAATTTCATGGAAAACTAATATTATTTGCTATATGAGAGGACAAAAGGAATAGTCTCAAAGAAACCTGGGAAGATTTACTTGAACTGATGAAGAGTGAACTGATCAGAACCAAGAGAACAATAAATAATGTAAAGAAAAAAGCAAAACTTTGAAAGATTTAAGAACACTGACCAAAGTAACTACCAACCATGATCCCAGAGGACTGATGAGGAAGAATGCTCTCCACCTAAGGACAGAGTGTTAATGGGCTCAGGTTACAAAATAAGGTATAGATTTTTTGTATATGACCAAAGTGCAAATGTGTTTTGCTTTGCTATACATGTTTGTTACAATGGTTTTGTTTTTCTTTCTTTCTTTTTTCCAGTTTTGGGGGGGAGGAGGGTGGGTAGAAAAGAAGATAAGAGAGAAGGAAGACACCCTGCCCCTCACACCAAAAAAAAAACAGAAGGAAGCCCAGAATCACAGATAAGCAGGATAACTTAGAAAGTTAGAAATTGAATTTATTATATATTTTAAAAGATAAGCAAGCTGTGCAATGTAAATGAAATTGATCATTTTATTTAATGTTTTGTTTGATGTCAAGGAAATTCAGAATAAAAAAGGGAAAACCAATAATAAACAATGCTGGTTATAATTTCCTTTACTAATTTCTTGTCAAGTGGTTGTTTGAGACTTTTTATCCTGCTTTAAGAAACATGACTTCTTGAAATTGTGTGCAGATCAAAACATCATAAGGACATTTGGAAAAGATTTCACATAAAACCTCATTAAGTCAGCCTGCATTAATTTAGGATTTCAGGGACTTTGAACAGGAGTTAGGCAGTTTTGAACTAAGTATGGAAAAGGATTTGCTGAGAAAATCAATAGTATAGAGGATTTCTGAAAGACAGTGTGGCATAATGGGTAGACAGCTGGCTAGGGAGTCCAGTCCAGCTTCTGATTCTCAGTGGCTGTGTGATTCTGGGGAACGCACTGAACCTCTCTGTGCCCCAGGCTGTTCTATAAGACTGGAAGCTTACAGAAGGTGGTTGCTGCAGGATTAAAGGAAGCACCTTATTTGACCAATGAAATCACAGGCCTGATGAAAGCCAACAAAACCAAGCAGGTTTTCCAGCAATAGGCTTGAAGTTAAGAGAATCAGGTGTTTGCAAATATTGGAAAAAACACCCTTGATGATCAATGGTTAATCCTACTTATGTACCATGATTGTCTATTCATTAATTCCTTACCTAAAGACCTTTATTAGTCAACATTTAGATACCCCAGTTCCAGTTTCTATAATGAAACTTGATTTTCTCTAAAAATTCTATTTTCTCATTCTATATTCCGTAATTTTATTTCATTATTTCTATTTTCCCGGAATGTAAATTAATAAGGTTTTTAACTGTTTGTTTATCTCCAGTGGTTGACAAGGAGACAGGAGACCATGCATTTTCCCACCGTTTGGTAGTGTGGAATTTGTCATAGGATTATTGATTTAAATGGGGAAGGGACCTTAAAAATCATCTAATCCAAGGATTCCTAACCTTTTTGTGTACCATTGACCCCACTGGCAACCTAGTGAAGCCAACAGATCCCCTCCTCAGGCTAATGTTTTTAAATGCATAAAATAAAATACTTAGGATTACAAAGAAAACCAATTCTACTAGATACAAGCATCAATATATTTTAAAAACAAGTTCAAAGACCTGAGGTTAAAAACCCCTGAATTAATTCAATCTCTTCATTTCACAAGTGAAGAAAGTGAGTTCCAAAGGGGTCAAATGACTTGTCCATAATTGTGTAGTCTATCCTGCTTATGTATTATATATATTATAAGGGTTCCATCAGAACTGGCTTCTTCTTCTTCTTCTTCTTCTTCTTTTGTAGGAAGCCTATTCTGTAGCAAGACAGTTCAACATGATTCCACCGGTATGTGAACAAGCCGAGTACCATCTTTTCCAAAGAGAGAAGGTGGAGGTACAATTGCCGGAACTATATCACAAGATAGGTAACGTATAGAATGGAAATCATTCATTCTCTCCCAGCCAAGAGGAAGCCAATGCTGTGGAAGACACATACTCTCTGTACATAAAAAGTATTACCAAGATGCTTTCATAATTATTTTTCATCAAGAATACAGGTCACAAAATCCACCTGGGCCAAAGAGTTTCACAGAGATAAAATAAGGCAACATCTTGTCTATGAAGTGTATATGTTGGAAGCAAATCACCCTGTTAGCAACACTGAACACAATTCCTTCCATGCAGTAGACACTTCAGAGAGATTTGCTGAATGAGTGAACTCATTCTAAGAGTTATCAGATACAGGCTAAAGTTTGTGCTTATTATAGGTTAGAGCATGATTGGACCCAATATGTCGGCTGCAAGCTTTTACATGATTTGAAGCTTTTTTCACAGGGCAAAACACACATGGATTTCTTTATTTTTGTATCTGAAAAACAAAAAGAAGCCATATTCATAGACTTGATCATCAAGAAAAATGGTACCTTGCTATTTTGCCCTTAATAATCTCTAGATTTCTTTCAAATCCCTCAGTTCCTTCAAAACTTAGGTTAAAGACCACCACCTACATGGGCACTTGTGTGATCCCTCCAGCTTCTAGGAATTCCTTGCACAATTAGCATGGATTTTTTTTGTGTTTACTTAAACATGTAGTTGATGTCTCCCTCAGTAGAATGTAAGCTTCTTAAGAAGAGGGATATTTATTTTTGTCCTTGTCTCGTCACTATACAGCAAAGTGTCTGGCACATCAGTTACTCAGTACGTGCTTGACTGATTGAGAGAGAGCTTCATGAATGATCAACTGATTAGAAAATAGAAGTTTTCCTAAGCATGAAATCTCCCACAAAACAATATGAGCTCCTCCAATAGAATATAAACTTAACTGTTTTTTTTATTTGATTTCCCCAGTCCCTAAGACAGTACCTGATACATAGTAGGACTTACTAAATGCTTGTTAATTGATTGAGTGCAAGCAATAAAATTTTTAAAATATGACTCTTTATGCATGTGAGAATCATACAGGATTCAAAGAGCTAACAGATTTCAATTGAACAAATTTCAGGCATTTCATAAACAGTGTAGAAAATCTCTGTAAAGACATCTTGAAGGAGACATCAGGAACATGATGAAATCCATGATAATTGTGGGAGGAAGTACTAGAAGCTGGAGGGATTATCAAAGTGTTCATGTAGGAGGTGGTCTTTGACACAAGTGTGACCATTTTAACGAAAGATATTTGCTCAAGTTAAAGAGATTTGCCATAATTAAAATTAAATAACATGTTGAGTTCTTGTTTTTAAAAAAAGGTTCCATTTAAAAGCCCACACTGGTTATTTACATAAGCTCCATTTGCATTTATTTTTCCTTTAGGGGTTGGAGCAATGACCTGGTCCCCCCTCGCCTGTGGGATCATCTCAGGGAAATATGGTAACGGTGTGCCTGAAAGCTCCAGAGCATCACTCAAGGTATTTCCTATGATTTCTATGGAGGAAATTTCTCTTACAATGGCCTGAGGGCAGGAAGAGTCAAATGGTAGATGACAATGGCTTTGCAGGTAGACATTGACATGCAAGCTTCTGAATCTGCTGGGCATTTTCATCATAGGTCCTTTGGAGGCATGGTTAGCTACTCCTTTGAGATCAGAGTTCTTAACATCTTTCAAAACTGTTGTCCTTACAGTGTTGTTATTATATACGTTGTTTTCATGGTTCTGCTCATTTCACGTTGTATCAGTGCATATACCCAAGATTCTCTGAAATCTTTTTTTTTGTCATTTCTTACCCATTATATTTATTTACCACCATTTGTTCAGTCATTCCTCAATTGATGGGCATTCCCATTTAGGTTCTACTTCTTTGCTTTGTTTTGTTTTGTTTTGTTTTCCTTTTCATCTCTTTTTCATGATCAGGAAGTTTATTTTGTTTTCAACTATTCTCTCCCTAATATTAGTCTGCCTTTAAGCCCTACCCCCAATCCCACTTGTTTCTCTGTTAAGTCTCATGTATTTCTACCTTTGGGAACCACATACTTGTAGTATGAAAAGTATACAAGTTTTTGTTTGATCTCTGACCCCATTTGGGGTTTTCTTGGCAAAGATACTGGAGTGGTTTGCCATTTCCTTCCCCAGCAATTTTCCACTTGACAAAACATTTGTGGCAAAATTATAGAATACCCTATGGTTAGTGAACATCCAGCAAAGAAAGCTGAGGCCTCAAAGAGTCAGTATAAGGACCAAGTCAGCCTAGATTAACATGACTTCTTTTTTCAAGAGGGTTACTCAACTGGTACATCCAAAGAATGCTTTAGATAAGGGTTCTTCATTTGGAGACTCTGAACTCAGTTACAAACAGTCTGATAACATTTGATAGAATTGATTTCATTTGTAGTCCTATGTATTTCATTTCATGCACTTAAAAAGATTATTCTCTGAGAAGTGGTCCTCAGGCTTCACCAGACTGCAGAAGAGGTCACCGTTAAGAACCACTGTTTTACAGTGGTTTATCTAGACTTGTAGCAAATCATTTGAGCAAATCTTTTAGGCTATTTTTGTGGAAATTATTGAGACACGTTTCTAAAGCTGGCCTACTGATGGTTCCAAGATGCTGGATTTTTTCTGTTTTGGTATTCTCATGAAAATTATCCCAAATCTAGAAAGCAAATATCTGCTTCTAAAAAGTCTTTTAGATTGTTCTAAGCAAAGTAGCAAGGTAGTCTGGCATAGTGAATAGAGTAACAGCCTCAAAGCTAGGAAGTCACAGGTTCAAATCTCCCTTCTGACATAGACTTAGTAACCCTGGGCAAACAACTTAACCTCTCAGTGATCTGAGCAACTCTAAGATGCACATGCATCAGTAGAGTTACCTCGCTTGCAAATTCCCAGTGACATCATAGGTCCAGTCCTGTTCCCTATCCCAGAATAAACTAAGAAAAAGTTAGGAAATTCAAACTTAAAACATCTTTAATGAAGAAGAGGTCCAGTGCTCAAGAATCATGCCCTTAGGAACTCCAAGACACCATAGTACCTTCAAATCTCTCTATCGTCAGAACATCATTGGGAGATAAGGAGGGGCAAAGGTTATTGGACATGGAGAAGCTGAGGCACAGAGGTATTAAGCAACAGAAAAGACAAAGATACTCAGGAATAAGTGTGAGATGAGAGCTTTGGTCTTCTAGTTCCCAGTTTACTTATCTACCCATGACACTAGTCCACATTTGCTCAGAAAACAACAATAACAACAACAAGAACAACAAAAACGATAGCTACTGTTTGGGATGATTTATGGACCTCAACTGTGACAGAAATAAGCCACTCAGCAGCTGGAAAGGTGCTGGCCACTGCTACCACAAAATAAAAGTCACACACACACAAAATTCTTAGCTTAGCTGAGTCCAAATGCAACTTGAGAGTTATTTTCTGTTGTTACTTTTATAAAGCAGACTTAATGACCACGGAAGCTTCCTTGGCAATAAATAGAAGGGAAGCTTCTGAGCTGAAAAAGCAGATGATCAGAAAACAAGTTTGTTGAGAGCTCTTCAGTGGTGTCAGTGGAATTCCAAGGCTTCATAAATGACCGACTCAAGTGTCCTCTGAAACAGCACACAAGCACAGCTCATGACCAATAACTCAATGAGGAGCATGAGACAAGAAGTAAAAGATGTAGCCGCTCTGAGAGGGAATGGGAAGATGAGGAGTGATAAAAAGAAGATGGCAGTCACTCAAGAAATGGAACTGGAGGTCAGCCAACAATAGTTATGGCAAATGCTACCAACAGGCATCTTGAGGCGGTTCAGATGATCCACACAGAGGAAACCCTGAACTATATGCTGATAAATTGATTAACCTTGTACTGTACATATGCACCTAAGGCTATTTTAGTGTGAACCAGATGTCCTAGAACCATAAAGTCAGGGCTAAAGCACTCAGGACCAAACAAAGCAGTCAGACTGCTATAAAAGTAGTAGTGGAATTTATTGAATGAGTCAACCCCTACTGGGTAGAAACATTGCCAAAATGACAATGGTCATAGAAGCAACAGCTATGCAGAATAATATGCAGAAGGGACTCAAGTGTGGAAACTGAGTCACAGCAAAATAATGTCCATTGTCCAAGCAGTGGGGGAGGTTCAAGCATACTAGATGGACTTTTTAAGCAACCTAGAATCTTTCTGGATGTCAAGTTAAATGATAGTATTTCTAGAAGCCATATTCACCAAGAGATTTCTCTCTCTACAGTAAGCAGAATAGCAGAGTGGATATCAGGAAGCGTAGGTTTCAATCTCACCTCTGATCCATACCAGTTTTAATCACAGGCAAGTTACTTAACTTCTCAGAGTTTCTCATTTCAAAGGTCAGGATAATACCCATAGAATCTCTTTTAATGTGATTCCCTCAAAGCTACCAATTATCACTTAATTGTCAAAATGAATGCACATCTCTCAATCTGGATGCTTCTTTGTCCTGTCTGCAACATCAGACACTCTTGATGACCCTTTTCTCCTGGATTCTCTCTCCCCTCTAGGTTTTCCTGACACTGCTCTGGTTCTTCTATGTGTCTCTGAGCACACTTTCTTTGTTTCCTTTGTTAGCGCTCCATCTATTTCATTCCTTTATACTCTCCCACTCTTCAGATCCCATGGGTTCAATTATCATCTCTAGGTGAATGATTCCCAGATCCACATATCTGATCCTAACCTCTCTCCTGAGCTACAGTCATGTATCACAACTGCCTTTTGGACACCTCAAACTCAATGTCCTGTGGTTATCTCAATCTCAATGTGTCTAAAACATAGCTCATATTTCCCCTATACCTTTTCATTATTATGGGTCACATATCAAACATTTCAATGTGGCAAATAAAGTTTTAGTAAAGCACATTATCAGTTTCCTCTTAGACATAAAACTAGGAGGTGTCTAAACAGAAGGTATTGGTTATTCAAAGATCATAATATCAGTGACTCTTCAAAATATAGGCCAATTACACTTAAGTTATGTGAAGCATTTGTGATTTTATCACTAAAATCCTCTATAAGCAATTGTAAGAAAACAGTATGTTGGCTAAGGAACAAAAAGCGTTGTACTGAAAAGTTCTGATTCGGGTCAGGCTGTCTCTAATCCCTGAGCCAAGCTACCGCTGAGTCATTTCTGATTTTGGAATTGCAGTAGTTAAAATTATAAGAAGTGGGGGTAAGGTTTGCGCTGGAGGGAAGTGTTTCTGAGAACAGTGTGTCTTTCAAGCCTGAAGACAGCTGCTGCTGACAGGCTCTCCACAAGGCTCCCTCTGCCAGACCTATTTCTCAGGCTTCACTCTGTGATTCTCGGAGCAACAATACCTCCAGGCGGCAAGGTGAGCCCTTCAGAATCCCAACTCTGCCCCTGCCAGACCGTCCTTTAGAGGAGTACTTACTTGACAAATATTCACTTAAAACTGGAAATAAGTCCTCTAACCTTCCTGCTCTGGCCCTTTCCCATCTGTATAAACAGATATTGCTACTGATTTTCAAAGTATTTTCATCTCCTTAAATACAAGCAAGGAATTATCACTATCACCCAATTTTTCATTTTTGGTCTCTACCTGCTGATGCTCTTTATTTCATAAACATTAAGGAGGTTTCCAGTGATGCCACAGATGCACTTCCTTAAACACTCCACAACATACCCACACCCATTTGCCTTTTAAAAAACTATTCAAGTTCTATCTGAAGTAGAGAAATATCTTGTAAAAATCTTCTTCAACCCCAAGAAAAACACCAAGACACAATCACAGCAGAGCCTCAGATGGGAATAACAAATTGTGTGTGAGAGAGACAGACAGAGACAGAGAGACAGAGAAAGAAAGAGAGACAGAGAGAGAGGTGGGGGAGAGAAGGGAGAGAAAAAAAAGTACTTGGCTACCCTTTATTTGAAGAAGAAGCTTGGGGTCATAGAAAGGATTGTGTAATTAACTCAGAGCCTGGTTCATTATTGATCTCACTCTCTGTCAAAAATACATGGACTGAATGAGCTCTGTGGGTTAGCCACCCAACTGTCCATATGATAGGCTAGGCAATAATCACTCTTCATTCATTTTATGTTCCTGTAGGTAGGTGGAACTATTTAGAGTGATCATGTCTGTAGTTTAGGAAGCTCTCCTTTGGTTGGGGGCTTGACACAATCAGCACAATGTCATGCATAAATAGGGGCACCCGAAAGACTTCACCATCAGTCATTCATTAATCCCCTATTGCACTGTGCTAGTCTATAGGTTCTTCCCTTTCCATTTGGGCTCTAAACTGGACATTCTCCTTTAATTAATGCACTGCTCCCCATTTTGTGCCTCTCTTAATATTAATCATCAGAGGGTAACTGGACAAAGTTGTCATTGATGTTAAACTTTCAAGGAATCTTAACATACACGTGGAAGTCAAGTTAAATCAACAAGCATTTATTGAGAGCCTACTATGTGCTAGGCAACGTGCTAAGCCCTGGGGATACAAAGAAAGGTTAAAAAAAAGTCCCTGCCCTCAGGGAGTTCCCAGTCTAACAGGAAAGCAAAGAGCTCTGTACAAACAAGCCCAGACAGGACAGACTGGAGATGGTCCCAGAAGGAAGGCAGTAGCATGAAGAGGGATTGGGAAAGACTTCCTGCAAAAGGTAGAATTTTAGCCCGGACTTGATGGAAACTAGAGAGGCCAAGTGGTGGAGCTGAGGAAGGGGAGCATTTCAGGCCCCGGGAACAGCCAGCAGGAAGGCAAGTGAAAAGGAGATGGACTGCCATGGCTGAGGAACTGCAAGGAATCGAGGGTTAGCAGATCACAGAGTACGTGGAGAGCAGAAGGGTGAAGAAGACAGGAAAGGTAGGCTCCAGGTGGTGAGGCACTTTAGAAGCCAAACAGAGGATTGTATATTTGATCCTGGAGGTAATAGAAAGCTCCTGAAGTTATTGAATAGGGGAGTGACATGCTCAGACCTGACATTAGGAAGACCACTGACAGCTGAGTGCAGAATGACCTGGAGAAGGGAGAGCTTGAGGCCAGCAGACCAACCGGAAGCTATCACAACAGTCCAGGCTTGAGGGGACCAGGGGCATCCTGCAGCAGGGTGATGGCCACATCAGAGAAGAGAAGGGAGTATATGGGAAAGCTGCTTCGAAGGTAGAATGGACAGCACTTGGCAACTGGCTGGATGTGCAGAGTGAAGAAATGAGTCAAGGACGACCTAGGTTGTGAGCCTGGCTAGCTGGGAGGATGGTGGTATTCTTTTAGGGGATAGGGGATAGTTTTTTTCGGGAAAGATAATGAGTTCAGTTTTGGACATGTCGCATTTAAGGCCTCTATAGGACAAGAGCTTAAGAGGTCTGGAGGGGGACAGCTAGGTGGTACAGTGGATAGAGCACCAGCCCTGGAGTCAGGAGGACCTGAGTTCAAATCCAGCATCAGACACTTGACGCTTACTAACTGTGTGACCCTGGGCAAGTCACTTAACCCCATTGCCTAGCAAAAATAAAACAAACAAACAAGCGAAAAAAGAGGTCTAGAGGATCCTGGAGGCTAGGCAAGGGGTTAGGACTGGAAAAGTATATTTCAGAATCATCTGCACAAAGATGCTAAGTAAATCATAAAAGGCACTACGCTGGAAAGGAGCCGTTAAGGAAGCACTTGGCTCTGCCAATCAAGTGCATTCTCTACACCGGTGAGCCAATGGTGTGACCTCCCAGAGAATAACCCACAGAGAAGTCTTCTGTTCCCCTCTCAAGCCTTTGAGGATGTCTTCCATGGGCGTGTACGTTAGTCTCAGAAATGTCATCCACGTGTGCCAGTGGGCATGTGACTCTGTAGTTATGGCAACTCACACAGCCCTTCATGACCTTAAATATTTCTCTGAAACAAAGGCTTCTATTTTTGGTTAACAACATTCTTCAGAGGATGTTGTGCGTGAGTCATGGCATAGCACTGAAGAATTCAAGTCGCGGGTCACCTAGCGGGCAACGAAGAGGCATGAGCATGCTGCGAAGCAATGCCCATGAAGAATGGCACCAAAGAAGGGGGAGTTGTAGGACCAGAGAACACGTAGGGGACCCTGGCATTCGATCAGTGAAGGCCCACCTCATCCCGTGTGGATGCTTCGTGGCCATGTCTATGCTTTGCCTAGTACGTGTCCTCCTCTCCTCAGCTTTCCAATTCTAGCTCTAAAATCCGTTATCTAATCTATTCCACGATTCCTGAAAAAGAGATGTCAATCAATCACAAGAGAACACCCATCACCATTCCCTCTGCCTTCCCTGGACACATTCCCCTGTATATGCTGTCTTCCCCAAGGGCAAGAATTGTCTCATTTGTTTACAATTGAGTCTCTAGCACTTATTATAGCGTCTCGTTCACGGGGAAACAATAAATATTTTTCATTCATTATGGGCCAGTTAATTAGTGAGCGTAAGGGGTATCCCATGTGCACCAATGGTGTCCACATAATTTTCAGAGAACTAAAAGAGAACACACATAGACAGACTGATGTGTGTCATCAAGGGAAGAATCATATCAATGAACTCCCGGATCTCTGGATGTAGCCACGTACACCCCGCAACGACAAATTCAGATCCCTTATTCTAACATTTCCTGGGCTTCTGCCACTGATGGTTTGCCTTTATGTCACATTTGGAGATCTGGGTCTCTGGAAAATGTCAGCAAGAAGTTTCCACCAAGTTTGGATCAATACTGGTTTTCCCATTAAGAACAAAAATGAGCTGTGGGGGGACACATTCCAGCAGCCAGTAGCATTTCTGGGAATGCTGCCTGGGAAGGCTGGAGTGCCAATCTTCACCACTGATGGCTGCACACCCTGAAATCATTGGCACCAAATGTAACCCCTGAAGAACTTCAGGGCTTGGACTGGCAACTGCCTTGTCCTGGGAGGAGGGGGAGCCAGGTCTCCCTGCAAGCTCTGCTGAAAGCACTGTTGACTGTCTCAGACAAGAGACTGACCACAAGCCTTTGAGATTGGAGAAGGTGAATAAAACTGCTATACCTCATCCTTTGTTTCTCTTCTGAAAATATTTACTGTTCGCAAAATTTACACACGAGCACACACACACACACACACACACACATACACACATACACACACATGTGCACACACATAAACAAAACCACAATATAGTTATGGTGTTCATTTGCAAATATCCCTGGGGAAGCTTCATTTGACTACGAAAAACATTTTGTGAAAAGATGTAATCCATTAAAATTGTGTGGGTGGAGTGCCCGGGATCTGGCCACAGCTGAATATTGTGCTGTTTATTTCCTTGGGGACACTAAAGGTCAGTGGTATCTCTATAACTTGACAAATGCTTTCTCCAAAGAAATTCAGAGCCTAGAGTCACTGGGGGCTTGTACAAAAACGCGGCTTTTAATAGTTTCAAAAAGAAAGAAAGAAAGAAAGAAAAAAAAGAGTTACATGTGCTAAAATCTCCTTCTAGCTGAGCTGTTCTTACCTTGGGTGAAAGACTCCATTGTTACCTATGTTATTATGGTCAAAGAGAAGCCCTGGAAAAGTAAGAAAACAGAAAAAGCCTACATGAAAAGGCCTGCAGATTTGGAACTGGAAGGACCCTTAGAGATCATCTGATCCCTCCTCCTCATTCAGCAGATGAGGACCCTAAAGGCCAAAGAAGTGGCTATCCCAGATCACGCAGGGCCTCAAGCTCCAGGAAGCGCCAGGCCTCAAGTCTTGGTTCTCTGATGTCCAAGCTGGCAGCTCCCTGGGCTGCCTCTCAAAGGAACCCTGCCTTGGTGAGGGAGAGTAGAGTCCGTATGCCACACAGTGGTGCCACCCGGCCCCTTCGTGTGCCTTAATGAGCATTTTCTCATCCTGACATCTTTGGCTAGGGTAGAATAATTCTACAATCGTTTTTACAAGTTTAGGGAGAAAAGATTATATACATTTTTACTACATCTTAAAATTAGATTTTGTTCATATATAAGTATTCATTCTTCTACTCTACAGAACTGAGCGTGCCAAAATTTTCAAACCAATCTGGCTTGTGCTTTAAGATAATGAAAAACCTTTAAAATTAGAAGTTTTGAAACTTTAAAAAAAACGGTCATTTTGAGATTTTAGGGATCACAGTCATTCAGGAGACAGGCCTTCCTCCTTATTACAGACCACAGGACAACCGCAGGACTTAGTCCAGTCTCAGGTGTAAGAGTCAAGGCAATCCCTTCCATCAGATTGTAAACTCTGTCAAGCGTGGCTTTGTGGTCACATGTTGTACAGCCTCTTAGCACCCTCTGCCTCCTTTTCTACCAGTCTGCCATCACTGTAGAAGTAGAAGGGGGTGCACAGGATTAGGGGTCATTTTAAGAATCTTCCCTTCGTTTTACTGGACGTGATGGCTAAAGAATTCATCATCTAGTGGCCAGCTGACGATGAGCCTCTCTGTATTTAACTAGAGCACCTTGGGACAGTAGGCTCAGTCTGCTGCTTCAATGACACTCAAAGCCTTTCTAGTCTGGTTGAAACTGCTACAGCTTCCAGGGGTAGGGAACCTGCAGCCTTGAGGTCACATGTGGCCCTCTAGGTCCTCTAGTGCGGCCCTTTGACTGACTCCAAACTTCACAGAACAAATCCCCTTCATAAAAGGATTGTTCTGTAAAACCTGGACTCAGTCAAAAGGCCACCCCCAAGGACCTAGAATGCCACATGTAGCCTTGAGGCTGCAAGTTCTCCACCCCTGTTACACTATCCACTAGAGTGGTTATGAAGGACCCAGGGTCACCCCCACGAGCCAATGAGGCATGGGTGCTGGACTTGGTGAGGCCTTCCTATTTGGGGCACCAACATCTGTGACTTGCGCTGATTCTGGGAGAGATCAAGAGACATCATCTGGGACCTAATCTGACCAATCAATAATTCACACCAAATATTTGGGTAGTGTTAACTTTTGCTCACTTTTGTCCCCAGTGCTACCAGTGGCTGAAGGAAAAAATCATAAGTGAAGAAGGAAGAAAGCAGCAAACCAAGCTGAAGGACCTTTCTCCAATTGCGGAACGCCTGGGCTGCACCCTGCCTCAGCTAGCAGTGGGTAAGAGCCAGTGGTCTGGGAGAAGCCATGCTCTTCCTGGCCTCACAGACTGCGTCTTTTTCAATCCCTCACTTGTGCTGTTTGTCATGAGACTAATTGCAGTCATCCATTAATATTCTCTCAAGCAAATTTTCCAGAAATTCAAAGTATTTTCTCCATTCCCCGATGTGTCCTTCCTCATTCCTTATTTATTCATTCAACAAGGTCTCATTAAGTACCTACTATGGGGCCTAGGCCCTGGGGATAGAAAAACCAAAAAATGAAATTATTTCTGATCTCAAGGAGCTTACATTAAATAATGACACGCATGTTCAGGTATACACACACACACACACCACACACACACACACACATTTAGAAAGAAGTGGCAAAAACCTGGGTGACAACCGGCCTTTCTGGTCCCATCCATTTCCTCTCATGTATTTTCACCCTTGTTTAAACAGTATTCAGGAGAAGGCCCAGTTCAATACTGATAAAGAAGCAGAGGGAAGTTCAATTCAATTCAACAAACATTTATTTAGGGCCTCCCATATTCCAGTTACTGTGCTGGGTGCTAGAAATACAAAGACAAAGATGAATTGGTCCTTGTCCACAAGGAACATTTATTCTCCTGGGGGATTCATAAGCACAGACAAGAAGCCACACAAAGGAGAGCCCTAAGAGCTGAGGGGCTGGGGTGTTGGCCAGGAAATGCTGCCTGCAGAATTTCACAGTTGACCTCTATTTCAAAGGAAGCTGGGATTCTGGGAGGGGACGGTGAATTCCAAACAAGAGAGAGAGTCTATGCAAAATCATTGAGGTGGGGAATCAAACATAGCGCATAAGAAACAGCCAATATGCCTGTCTGCCTTCAATGGAGAATACATGAAAGGGAAGTCAAAGGAAAGAAGATGAGAAAAAGTAGGTGGGAGTCAGATTACCGTAGGCTTCAAATACCAAGCTGCGCATGATGTTACCATTTATCTTAAGGATAAGAGGGAACCAATGAAGATTTTTAAGTAGAAGAGGAACACAGTCGGATTTGCATTTTAGAAATGCCATTTTGTCAGAATGCATCAACACGCCAAAGCTGTTCTAAGTGGAGAATATCCCCTTAGATTTCGTAAGGTATAATTAGAGAAGTTCAGCTGATTTGTCAGCAATAAGCAAAAAGGGAGAGGAAGAAAATGGAAAACCAGTCTCCATCTGGAGGGCTCTAAAGTGACCATACCAAAAGACAGGACGGCCAGGATTTAGGAACAAAGCTGCGCCTACCGCCCCCTCCTGCCATTGTCAAGCCTTCCGCACGCTCTCCAGTCACCTGGCCAACACTGTCATTTACTCAGAACACTAGAAATTTCTCTAAACCTCCCCAACATGAGTACCCCACTGGAAGCCATTCTAGTGCAAGAAACACATAGAATTAACTACAGAGATGCCACATAGAATAAGTAAAACCAGAGGGATGGTCAGAGAAGGTTCCTAGAATAAAGGATTTCTTTTCATTGAGTTTTGAAGTAAGTAATGGGACCTAGACAGGCAGATGGGGAAATTGGGGTGGGGGGAGAGATAAGATCAAGAAAAAATGGCTGACGTTTCAAGACATTTTAAGCAAAGCTTTCCACACATTATCTCCTCTGAACCTCGCCACAACCCCATGAATCATTTTACAGATGAGTATACTGAGGCTGAGAAAGCCTAAATGAGGGTTGCTGATAATCCAGTTAAAAAACAGCAACCATTTAGAGCACCTCTTTCTATAGTGGCCAAGAACTGGAATGAGGAGGAAATGGCTGAAGAAGTTATGGTATATGAATGTAAAGGAAATTTATCGTGCCATAAAAAAATGGTGAAAGAGATGATTTCTAAGAAACCAAGGAAGACTTGCATGAACTGATACAGAGTTAAGTGAGCAGAACCAGGAGAGTACTTTACATAATAACAATATTTCAAAGCCAAAAAAAAGCTTTAAAATACGTAAGATCTCTGATCAAAACAATGACAAACCATGATTCCAAAGGAGCGATGATGATCTATGTGATTCACCTCCTGACAAAGTGGAGAATGAGACATGTTTTCGGGCACTGACAGTGTGAGAATTTGTTTTGCTTGACTATGTTTATTTGTTATAAAGGTTTTGTTTTTATTTTTTCTTTTAAATTGGGGGTACATGGGAGACAGAGAAAATAAATGCTTGTTAATTAGAAAAATAATATTAAAAAATAAACCTGAACATCATATTATCTACAGTGCTTGCAGAGTAGGTAGAAATGGCACTAAAAAGAGAAGAAAAAAAAGGAAAAAACCAGCCAACTGTATGAAGTATAAATAAAGGAGAGAAATCTGCGCCACAGGTGATACAATTGTGGGACATCCATGGACTACTATTTAAGTTATCTGGATATGAAGATACCAGAAGCATGAAAAAAAATCCTTAGTAATATCCGCTGAAAGTGACCAAGATAAAACACTAAGTACTGACCTATATGCCTACCCTCTCATCTGAACATAATCTTATGAGAGTCATCAATACATGAATAAAGGGCATCCTCAATGCCCTCTATAAGCAAGGAACGAGTCATATTCAACAATGGACCACGTCTTTATCATCTAACTAAAGGATGTAGAGACCCTTGTAGCTTGTAGGTCCCATTGTACTGATCGTTGATTACTAAAACAAAACATTTTATGAGGCAGAACAAAGCACTACCCTAAAGGCCTTTTTACAGCAAGATATTTCCCGCCTACACATCAAGATCATTCAGGATTCCTTATAATAACAGAAACAACCCTGTTCAGTGATCCCCAGCTAATAAACAGAAGGTGAGGCATAAAACATGGAGATGTATGCTAGCAGAAGTATTCACCACCAGGATGGAGAAACACAGAGTCTAGGTTGAGAAGGGATTTCCAGTGGATGATGAGAGCCTCCCTGATGCTCTTGTTTTTACAAGACATTGTGCTGATTGCATCAAGCCCTAAGATGTTGCAGAGTCTCCTGGAAGAGATCTGGACCAGATCAAAAGAGTTTGGTCCTATCCATCTACAAAAGAAAAACCAAGTGGATGAAAAATGTCAGTTGCACAGACTTCAGTATGCCTTTGGGCAGATACCCTATAAATCTTGTGCAACTACATGTATATATGGAACAGAAAATACAAGTAGACAACACGAAAATGAAGACCCAACTCTTCAATGTGAAGACTTTACTAGAGTTGATACATGGCAGTGATACCTGAAGAACTAGATGAGTATCAGACAGAGAGCAATGGAAAAGTGAATGGTTGGTGTGAGCAGACTTCACCATATCACTGATGAGGAACTCTGAAGAAGAAGAGGTGTGAAGGTCATCATCAAAGAATTTTACGATGGGAAGAAAAGATAGCTTGGTCACTTGGCAAAAACCAAGGATGGCAGCCAGAGTACTTAGCAGAGCACTTTTGTGATGTGAGGAGAAACGAGAAGGTGCCTAGCATGTTGGGTGGACTCTCCTATAGCAAACTTATGGGAGAATTTAGTCAAGGGTCCTGGAGGCTGGGCAAGTACATGTAATTCATACTCCATACCCCTGAATCAGTGAGATCATAGATCTATTTGAGTAATGTTTGGAGACAGAGAAAAGGGAGTCTCAGTTTCCCCATCTACAAAATCAGAAGGCTAGTTTATGCCTAAGTTGTCTCCCAGTTTCAACATTTTACATTCTATGGTATGTTGTTGTTGTTGTTGTGAACTTAACAATAAACATGCCGGCATACAAAAAACAAGAAGTTTGTATAAGAAATTGTGAACTTGTTACCTACAGGTTCTTTTTACTTGTAGAAAGGAGCTAGAAACTATACCTGAGCCTGTCTTCTCCTTGGCTCTGGAATGGCATCGCCATAGTGTGTGCCTTTAGAGGCTCTTTAGCACAGCCAAGAAGGGAGCTGAGGTTCAGGAGAAAGAAGCTGAGGGGGGATTTTCCTAACATCTCTCTAGACAGCTGACTGATCTCCCCATCGGTGTTTGGAGAATCTAGTGGTCCTTATTAATACCGAAATCTTAGAGCTTCTTAATATCCTCACTAAAAAAATCAACCAAGAGTACTGAGAACTATCCACTTCCATGCCTCCCCTTCCAACTGTATGAAGTCTTTACAGAGGCTCTCTATCTCATAGAGCAGTAAGTAGGGCAGGGGATAGGGGAGTGAAAAAACACCGACTTAAGCCAGCAATTGAGTTGATTGTGATCTAGCATCCTTTAAATTCAACTTTGAAAGTGTGGAAACACTTTTTATGCCTAGAGAGGGGAGTCTCTGTTGACTTAAGCCTTGCCCTATAGTCCCACTGGATAAATTCATTCTTCATCTCCATAACTTTTTCTACAATCCACATCTGTCCCCTACCTCCACCCAAAAAACCATTTTTCCATCTTCCTAATTTCTTTTCATCCTTCATGAACAAGTTTCCACCACAAATCTATGAGGGCATTAAGTGGGAAGTTAACTGGGGTCACATTGCCCTTGATCCACTGTGGTGCCCAGAGATAAACCACAGCTCTGGAAGGAAATGAGCCATTTGAATAAACATCCCTGTCCCCTGGCACCCTGCTGCCTACACCTGCATGCAGAGCGGGTTTCTGGGAGTCTTGGGATGTGACAAGCACCTTCTGTGGCTGTTTACATGACCGTCTGAATATTCACCAACTTCTGTGGTGACATTCCATCAATAATCATCACAAATCATCTGCAGGTGTGGTTACCACGGATTTGGGCAAATCTGCAGAACAGATCTGTCCATTGGCAGGGCAACAAAGGAGGAGTCTGCCCTCCCACTGCAGGGTAGACTAAATGGTTTCTTGGAATTAGCGATCTCTAAGAGAACATGAGTTCTTAACTTGGGATCCAGGATAGGATTCTGGAGGTCCATGAACTTGGTTGGGGGAAAATATATACCTTTATTTTCACCAACTTCTAACTGAAATTTAGCATTTTCTTCCACTGTGATTAAAACTTTAAAATCAGAGAAGAGCTCTAGTCTTCCCCAGACTACCAAAGGGGTTCGTGATATAAAAGAGCCTCTGCTCTAGAACATCCATTAATTTCATTATATAGAGAAATCATATGATGTTAGAGGTGGAAGGCCACTTGGTCCAAGCCCTTCTTTCTATAGAATGAGGTAAATGAGGTTTAGAGACAAGAAAGGATTTGTCTAGGGAGTGACCTAGTACACGTCTGAGTGAAGCTATAAACTCAGGTCTTTTCCCACCAGCTGTTCTGCCCCATTCCATGAACATCCGGCTGTCCACAGAATAAGGTCATCACTAGAAATCTCGTCCTGAAGGATTTCTTCTGCTTTGATACTCACCACTTCCTCAACACCCTCAGCTGCCTCTCCTCTGACTAAAGGACTCCCACGGCTTCCCTTCAGGGAGGGCTCAGAACTTCCCAGCCAGCTATTCATTTCCCACCAGCTCCTCCGCTTGGTTTCTACTCCATAAACATCATACCACCGCTCCCCCACCCCTGACCTTCTGAGTCCTCCCTTCCTCCTTTTCAGCTGCCTTTTATAAACTGTCTTCTTCCATTTGAATATAAGCTCCTTGAGGATGAGGACTATTTTTCTTTTTCTGATTTGTATTCCCAGCACTTTAGCACAGTGTCTGGCACATAGGAGGTGCTTAGTAAACGTTTATTGACCATTGGCGAGTTCTTCTGATTCTAAGTTCAGTGTTCCTTCTACTGCACCATACTGCCTGCAATGCTCTGTACCTAGACCTATAACTTCATTCATTCAGTCAATAAACATTTATGAAGCACCTACTATGAGCCTGGGGTTGTACCAGGATCTGGGCATACATAGTTAAAGGAAAAATAATTCCTGCTTTGAAGGATTTATATTCTATTGGGGGAAAACATATACACATAAAAATACATACAAAATTTATAATGATATGGTTATTATATCTTCTGAGATGAGAAGATACTAGCAACTGGAGAGATCCCCTCCAGAAGAAAGTGGCACCTAAGCTGGGGAAGATTCACCGCCTGGAGGCAGGAGATGAATGATGATCCAGCAAAGGAGACTGAGAGGGAATGGTCAGGCAGGTGGGAGAAAACCCTGGAAAGAGCAGAGGGATGAAAAAAGGATGAAAACTCAGGAAAGAGGTGATCCAGGAGAAGCTGATGAGTGGTGTTAAAAGTTGCAGAGAGGTCCCATAGGGCAAGATCTGAGAAAAGCCTCTTCAGATGTAACAGGAAAGCAATAGAGTCACTTCAGCCAAAGTGCTTATGTACTGTGTGATGGTGAGCAAGCCAGTATCTTTCTGAGCTTTGGGTTCTATATCTGTAAAATGGGCATTATAATAGCTAGGGTTAGGGTTAGGGTTAGCTATGATACCCAGCTCATGGGTTGTCATGACGCTCCAAGTGCATAAAATGCTCGGTAAACCTTAAAGCTTGAAAGAAATGCCAGCTACCATCATCATCATCATCAAAGAGTCCCTATTAAAATGTAACAACTCTTGGGAATGGTGACACCTTAGTGGGATTAGCTGTCAGCTGAGAGCAAGACCCTACAGAAATGGGAAGCAATCTGAGGGTCTAAGGTAAAGGGGCTTGTGAAAGGGGAGGTGGATCATACCGTGGCATGGAGTCCCATAGCTCCCATGGGATAAAAGTTGGTCTCTCTACCCTACAGGGTTGCACTTTGTAAATAAAAATGTAGTTATTGTTATTATTATTATTAACAACACTTATATGGCACTTTAAGGTTTAACAATCACATTACATATGTTATTCCTCTGATAGTTTCAGAAGCACTTGGAAGGCATGATTGGTTTTTCTTTTTCCCTAGCATGGTGCCTGCGGAATGAGGGAGTGAGCTCTGTTCTCCTGGGGTGTTCCAATCCCGAGCAACTCATAGAAAACCTCGGTGCCATACAGGTAAGTAGGCTCATTACCAATGAGTTCTATCAAGAATGATCTCTTGTGATATGGAGTTCCTTTGAGGCTCTCCCTCAGATGACAATTTCATTTTCCTCATCTCGATGCTTCAGAGAATCATAACCTTCGAGTTGCCAGGAAGCCCCAAACCCCCAAAATGAGTAATATCTAGTTTGGAAACAATTATAATAAAGCATCAATCTTAGCCAATAAACAACTCTGGCCCATTTGCCAATGAATTATCAGTAAGTCAGGTAGATTCTGATTCCGTCAAGGGGATTGGAGAGGAATCCTGGACTTATAGCACTATTATCTCAATTTAAAATACATTACTTCCTGTTGTTTACTGCACTTCACAACTGAGAACAAACAAATGAAAAGATAGTTACTAAGTTTTTACCACGTGCCAAGTACTGTGCTAAGTTAATGAAGATACAAATATAAGCGAGGTGATCCCTGCCCTCAAGGAGCTTATATTCTAACGGGGCAAGACAACACATATAGGGAATGGTGTCCAGGGAGGGGTGTTTTGGTCAAGGCAATCAGAAAGATGATGAGCAGAAATAAGCTGCTGATTGACATGTCCTTTCCCAGGAAGGCTGTGTTGAATTTTATTATTGTTCCCAGGGATAAAGGTGGAAAGCCACGGCATCTGTTGGTAGGGGGGAGAGGGGGCTGCCCAGGGCAGGGGAGGGGGAGGAGGAGAAAGGTATGCTGATGAAAGCATGACATGAGGATGGCCAAGGATTAACAATGTAGAAGGTCTGGATCAGTAGTGTTCTGGCAAATGTTTAACAACAGACTCTCCAAAAGAAAAAATGTATGTGTGTGTGTGTGTGTGTGTGTGTGTGTGTGTGTGTGTGTGCGTGTGTGCGCACGTGCATGTGTGTGTATGTGCACGCATGCATGCATGTGCGTATGTGCACATTGCCCACTTTTAGGTTAATCTTCATTATTAACATTTTCTCCACCATTTTCTTAAGTTTAGACACAAATAGAAACAGGGCCACAAGGTATTCCTAGACAAGGATCTCTGAGCATGTACTGACTTTGTTTTTCAGTGTGATATTATCTATGTTTTATTATATTTTTATTTATTTTGTTAAATATTTCTCAACTATATTTTAATCTGGTTTGGGCTGAATGGTAGTGCTGTGGGCCACATGAAGCTGAGGACGTACCACTTATGGTCATCATAACAATCAGTGAAGCTCTGTGTTGCAGCATCTGCTGATTTCCAAGGTGGAAATGTTCACACTGAAAACTGAACAACTGGCTTGGCTCAGGCTGACTCCTGCATGGCCTGGTTCTGGGTCAGACTAGAAACTGTGATGCCTTCACAATGCCAGTGTTGAGAATTTGAAAAAGAAGTGTGTAAACTGACCTCCCTAAAGACTTATGTGAACTGATACAAAGTGAAGTGAGCAGAACCAGAAGTAGTAACAGCAATATTGTACAACGGTCAATGTGAGTGACTTAGCTCTTCTTAGCAATACGGTGATCCAAGACAATTCCAAAAGACCCATGAGGAAAAATGCTACCTGCCACCACAGGGAGAAGTCATTAACTCTGGTGCAGACTGAAGCACATTTTTTTTTCATTTTATTTTTCTTGCCCTTTTTTTGCAACATGGCTAATATGGAAATATGTTTTGTTTAACTTTACATGTTACATATCACTTCACATTGATATATTTTTATGCCTTCTCAATGAGTGGGGAAGGGTGAGAAGAACAGAGAATGTAGAACTCAAATATTTTTAAATGAATGCTAAAAACAAACAATAGTTTAAAAATTAAAATAAATTTTAAAAATTTTAATTATCTTCCCTCCTCTCCCTCCCCCAACATCATCTTAGAATCAGGTTCAGAACTGGAAGGGAGTTTACTGACCATTTGGTTCAATCCCCTCATTTTACAGATGAGGAAACTGAAGCTCAGAGAGGTTGTGACTTGGCCAGGGTCACACAACTAGTAAGTGTCTAGGCCAAGATCCAAACCAAGATTTTCCTGTCTCTAAGTCCAGTGCCCTATCCATTATGACATTATGCTTTCCATCTTCATGTAGTATTATTTTACTCTAGGGCTCCAAGGATGGACTGTCCATCTGCTGCCTGAAGACCATCCTAGCTAGGTCACAGACTTATAAGCAGGATAACTGCAGCATGATGAGTCTGGGAGTCTGAGCAACTGTTATTAAGTGATGGAGAAGATATAATCCATGTCAGTGGAAGGAGTATCCATAACCAACACAATAATAGATTCTTGGAGTATGAAATATCATTTTTATTACACAAAGAAATTTTTGCAAAAACTAACAATAATTCATCCTGATTGTTTTCCAGAGATGTAGGTTCTTCCCCCTTTGACAAATTCAAGAGAGATGTAACAGCTTGAGGGTCTCAAGATTTATAAATGTAGCCCACCTGACTCTGCATCTGTAGAGTCTGAATTGGAAGCCTGCAGTTTGAAGGTTTTTTGAGTTAGTTTCCACTTGACAGCAACAATATTTTAGGTTGAACAATGAAAATCAATTTAATCAATAAATCAATGAAAAGTAAACTTTTCTAAAGCGCCCACTATGTATCTGGCATGGAATTGGGGCAAGAGGAGTTGTGCATTGTTAACACTCACTGTTAAAACCCATTTAACACTTCTTGTTAAAATGAATCTGTTGCTGGAAAACACATTTCTAGGCTATGAAACAATTTGTGTGCTGTGTGATTCATTACAAAAAGATTTTATTGGCACCTGCTTTTAAGATCTCCCCAAACTACTTCATCTTCCTAAGCACTGCTCAACCTCTCTATTAGGAAAATGGTGCTGGTGGTGGTGGCGGTGGCAGTGGTGCTGGTGGTGGCGGTGGCGGTGGTGGTGGTCAATTAACCACAGGTTGAGAATTTCACATTCTTTGCTACTCAAGGAAGATACTATCTTGGAAATGGACTTTACTTTCTGTTCCTCTTCCAATGAGTTCCTGCTACATTTTTCTTACTCTAAGTTTGATTTCCATATTTGGTCACTTGTTCATAGTCATGGCTAATCAAGGCAAAGTTTCTGAAGTTTGATTCTTTAGTTTTTTGAAATATCTCTGCCAACAAGAACACTAAAACAGATTTCACCTCTGATGAAGGAATCACTAACCAGCGCTTACAGGCAACACGCCATTTGTGGAGAGAGAACCAGCCTCACAGCTGGAAAGACTGGCTTCAAGTCCCACTTCTGACACCTAGACGCTGTGTGACCCCGAGCAAGTCCCTTCACCTCTCGATGTTCTAGGTGATTCTCTAAGACCATAAGTTGCAGAGAAGGTGCCAACCTGCATTGGTAAAAGGAGTTTCCTTACCTGGGAGTTCCATATACTAATGCAATCCCAAGCTCACTTCCCACCCTGTAACTCATCAGCCGTTTCCAATCCAGAAAGCCCAGCTCTGGTTCTCAGTCCAAAGGCTTTGATTCTTTGGAGGAAAGGGCTAATAAGGAGATGCAGATATAATGGTAATGATGATGATGATAAGGAGGAGGAGGAGGGGGAGGAAGAGGATGAGGAAGAAGAGGAAGAGGAGGAAGGGAGGGGAGGAAAGGATGAGGAAGAAGAGGAAGAGGAGGAAGAAGGAGGTGCAGGAAGACGGAGTAAAGGGAGGAGGAGGAAGAAGGCACGTTTATAGAGTACTTTTCAGGCTGCAGAACCATAGATATTGTACCAATGCAGTGGTAGCCAAACGGTGTAACTGAAACCAGGAGCTGTAATCAGGGATCATCATTCACCTAGATAACTCCACGTATAGCAGCAAACTATTCCGGAGAGGAATCAATTCTTTGTTCCTTGGTCTATGGAGCAGCCTATGCCATGACAGCTTTCTAATCCTGGAGACCCTGCCCAGGGTCAGGTACTGCCGGTCTTCACCAGGCCTGCGCAATGGTATTTTTCACTCTCTATTCCAATTTGCCTCCTATTTGGGACTCAAGACTAGCTAAATCATGTTAATTTAAGACCGAGGGTCCTAGTAATAGCCATGGAGGCATAGGGGCCCAACAGCCTTGTGAATACAACCCTTGTTACCTCTCTGCCAAGGAGAAATCCACCTGAGGATGAAGCCTGCTGGCTGAGTCAGGCCTCTGCTGCTGGTTCCATGAACAAAAGAAGTATTGTGTCTTAAAGGGACAGGCTGGTTTTCTCCCTATCCTGGGAGAGGACTGAGAGGCTCTAACTGCATGAATCCTGAGAACTGTCGCCCTGAATTGACAGCACTGCTTTCTGCCTGCCCTAGGAGAGCTGAGATTATTTTTTTAATATAAATGTATTTATTTTAGTTTTCAACATTCACTTCCACAAGTTTTTGAGTTCCAAATTTTCACCCCATCTCCCCCTTCCCCCCACCCCAAGATGGCATGCATTCTGAATATCCCTTCGCCTAGTCTGCCTTCTCTTCTACCTCTCCCCCCTCCTTTCTCTTATCCCCTTCCCCTTCTATTTTCCTGTAGGGCAGGATAGACTTCTGTACCCCATTTCCTGTATTTTTTATTTCCCAGTAGCATGTGAAAACATTTTTTTAAAACATTGTGTTTTATAGTAGAAAACTTTAACATGTTTAAAACTTTAGGTTTCAAATTTTCTCTCTCCTCCCTCCCCACCCACCCTCATTGAAAAGGCAAGCAACTCAATATAGGTTGTACATGTGCAGTTATGCAAAACACGTCCATAGTAGACATGTTGTGAAAAACTAACTCTATTTCCCTTAATCCTATCCTGCCCTCCCATTTACTCTATTCTTTCTTTTGACCCTGTCCCTCCTCAGAAGTATTTACTTCTGATTACCCCTTTCCCAATCTGCCCTCCTCTCTATCATCCCCCTGCTCTCTTGTCCCCTTCTCCCCCTATTTTCCTGTAGGGTAAGACAGATTTCCATACCCAATTGAATGTGTATGTTATTCCCTCCTTAAGCCAAATCCTATGAGAATAAGATTCACTCATTCCCTCTCACCTTCCTGCCTTTCCTCTTCCACTTTAAGAGACTTTTTTTTGTTTTTTTTTTGTGAGATAATTTACCCCATTCTACCTCTCCCTTTCTTCTTCTCTGAGTATAATCCTCTCTCATCCCTTAATTTTATTCTCCAGATATGACCCCTTAATCTTCAACTCACCCTGTGCCCTCTATCTATCTATCTACATATACATACATATAATTTTTTCCCTCCAACTACCCTAATACTGACAAAGGTCTCATGAGTTATAAATATCATCTTTCCATGCAGGAATGTAAACAGTTCAATCTTAATAAGTCTCTTATGATTTCTCTTTCCTGTTTACCTCTTCATGTTCCACTTGAGTCCTGTATTTGAAAGTCAAATTTTCTATTCAGCTCTGGTCTTTTCATCAAGAATGCTTGAAAGTCCTCTATTTCACTGAATGACCATTTTTTCCCCTGAAGGATTATACTCAGTTTTGCTGGGTAGGTGATTCTTGGTTGTAATCCTATCTCCTTTGCCCTCCGGAATATTATATTCCATGCCCTGCGTCCTTTAATGTAGAAGCTGCTAAATCTTGTGTTATCCTGATTGTGTTTCCACAGTACTTGAATTGTTTCCTTCTGGCAGCTTGTAATATTTTCTCCTTGACCTGGGAACTCTGGAATTTGGCTATAATATTCCTAGGAGTTTTCCTTTGGGGATCTCTTTCAGGAGGAGATCTGTGGATTCTTTCAATTTCTATTTTGCCCTCTGGTTCTAATATATCAGGGCAGTTTTCCTTGATAATTTCTTGAAAGATGATGTCTAGGCTCTTTTTTTGATCATGGCTTTCAGATAGTCCAATAATTTTTAAATTCTCTCTCCTGGATCTATTTTCCAGGTCAGTTGTTTTTCCAATGAGATATTTCACATTGTTTTCTAATTTTTCATTCTTTTGGATTTGTTTACTGTGTCTGATTTCTCATAAAGTCACTATCTTCCAATTGCTCTATTCTAATTTTTAAGGAAGTATTTTCTTCAGTAAGCTTTTGGACTTCCTTTTCCATTTGGCCAATTTTGCTTTTTAGGGCATTCTTCTCCTCATTGGCTTTTTGGACCTCTTTTGCCATTTGGGTTAGGCTATTTTTTAAGGTGTTATTTTCTTCAGTATTTTTTTGGGTCTCCTTTAGCAAGCTGTTGACTTGTTTTTCATGATTTTCTTGCATCACTCTCTCAGTTTTTCCTCTACTTCCCTTACTTGCTTCTCAAATCCCTTTTGAGCTCTTCCAAGGCCTGGGACTGATTCATATTTTTCTTGGAGGCTTTAGATGTAGGAGCTTTGACTTTGTTGTCTTCTTCTGGTTGTATATTTTGATCCTGTTTTTCACCAAAGTAAGATTGTATGGTCTGACTCTCTTTGCGCTGCTTGCTCATGATCCTGGCCAATTACTTGAGTTTTAAACTCTTTGTTGAGGTATGAATCTGCTTCCAATATGCAGAATGTAGTGTCCCAAGCTTCAGGGGTTTGTAGCTGTTTTCAGAGATACTTGTAGGGACCTGTAAATTTTCAGTTCTTCCAAGGTGGTATGATAAGGAGGTGTTTACTCCTTTCCTGGCCTGTGACAAGTATCCTTTCTGTCCTGTAACTGTGAGGAAGGGTTCCTCTCCACAGACACTACAAGCTCCACCAAGCCAGCACTCCTCCTCACCCCAGCACCGCCGCCCAGAACTGTGACCCAGATCCAAACAGGAGCAAAGCAAGAGATTCCTGCCTCAGCACTGGCAAAGAGATCCCTGCAATCCCTCTCTGATCAGCCACTGGATTCCCCCTCAGTCTGTGGGACAGCAGCTCGGGAAGCAGCTGCCCCCCCCAGGGCCATGCTCTTGGGGAATGAGCTGAGCCTTCCTTGTTTCAGCACCGACAGAAACAGACTTTTCCCACTGACCTTCTAAGTTCTCTTTGGCATTGGTGGATTGAGGAGTCTGGAAATCTCCACAGCTGCCCAATTCAGTCCTCTGCGGCCTGTGCTCTCATGCTGCGCTGCACTCCCAGCCTGGCACGATACACCTTTCTGATCGATCATCCAGGTTGTCTCGGGCTGGAACTTTGTTTCACTCTGTCTTTTTGTGGGTTCTGCTGCTTCAGAATTTGTTTAGAGCCATTTTTTATGAGTATCTGGAGGGGTTTGGAGGAGAGCTCAAGCAAGTCACTGCTTTCACTCTGCCATCTTGGTTCTGCCCCGAGAGCTGAGATTCTTGGGAGCACATGCATGGACACAGGGGTTGGAAAGAAAGGACATGTTGGCAGATTGGAACAAGAAAAAGCAGTGACAATGAGCTGGCAGTGATCGGGGGGGCATGGAGAGAGCAAGAGAGAGGAGAGAGAAATAGGGGGAGAGAGAGAGAATTACTTATTTACAGCAGACACTTTGCATAGACTCAGATTGAGATGAAAGGGTAGTTTGGGCACTGTCTCTTCAAATCCCTGGTGAAGGGTTTAATTCCTCTGCACTCCTCCCACCCCTGCCCCCAGCCCCACTGCTACCCACAGACTAAAGATATTACTATAAGAATTCTCCACAGCTGAAGTTATCCCTATTTTCTGATTTTGTTGGTAGTGCCTTAAAAACTATAATGTAAAATGATGACTGCTCATAATTGCCACGTGATTTTTGTCAGTTATTAATTTGTAAACAGGGGAGCAACCACAGAGGGGGCTAATAAACAGCTAGAGTCTGGTACAGAGAGGGAAGTAGAGGTCTGATCTGTCTAAAATAACTTAGGTTTTTTATCCTAGCCTGGGGGCTCTGCATTCTAATTGTGAAGATGTTATCATTTATTAATTTTGATTAATAACTTTTGGTAAACTTCCAATATGAGAATTTAAACTAAATCCAGAGTTTGTCTTGTGGCTTTGAAATTAAAATTTCAAGCCAGGCAGCCATAACAGTCTGGTGAGGGGGATGGGCCAGCACCTGGATGCTATGTCACTTTCCTGTAATGCCGTCTCCTTGGGCATGTCTAATGGAATATGGGCTGTGCTAAGAAGTAGCCCGCCTGGTAGGATCAGGAAAGCATGGTCTGGGAAAAATGGCCATGTCCCCAAAATTCCCAAGGTGGAGGCCAAAGAGAAGAGCATAACCTACTGGTCATATATAAAATTGATGTTCCACTTACATACCTAGACATTTAAAGACTTGGCTAATTTTATTAGGCATCATACCGTTTAAGAGAAGATATACACTCAAGATTAAAATTTTTATTTAACTTTTCATTTTTAAAATTTTCAGAGGCTTACATGTGTCTTTACTTGTGTCTTTGCAGCAACTCACAACTTCATGGGTATTAAGGATTACATCATCCTTAACTCTTCCAAGTTAATACTTTCACAAAGAGAGTCATTACTTAAATGAACTATACCTAGACTTTTTAATGTGTTTGAAGATGTTAGGGTAATCCCGATACTACAATAAGATTCTCCAAATAAGGATAGATTTAATCAGCTATGGATTTCCAGGCAAAAACTTTTGGTCAAATACATTTGTGGCTCTCTACAGATCTCTATACTTTGACACTTCAGGGATCTAGGATTGTCCACATACATAATCTCTTTGCAAATCCAGACTGCAGCACCCTGACATCCTACTCAACTGTCTTTTTTTAATTCCTAGAAGCCCCCAGATTTTATCACCCAGTGGCCAACCTCTTAGCAATGTGGCTGACCAATCTTAGATTGCTCTTTGAGCTGACACATAATTTGTAAACAGCCTAAAGTTATCATCCGATTTCTTCTCCATTAGAATGGAAGCTCCATGAAGGTAAGAGCCAGTTTTTTTGGCGTTTTATTTTGTATTCCCAGTGCTTACCACAGTGCCTGGAACATAGACAGCATTTAATAAATGCTTCTTAATTTACTATTTCCACCTTCTGCCAGAGCTTGTGGTCTGCTGGCGTTGGTCCTGGGAACTGAGGGTCTTCTCCTGACCATGAAGAGGGTGTTCCGAGAGAACTGTCTTAAGTATGCAAGACCAATGATACTCAAATCTGTCTATTAACTGAATTAAATACAACAGGAAATCATAAAGTTCATCTACATGGTCAGTGGTGGCACAGGGGGACCGAGTGCTGGACTTAGAATTTGGAAGATCTGAGTTCAAATGTTGTGACCCTAGGCAAGTTTCTATACCTGTTTGTCTCAGTTTCCTCATCTGTAAAATGGGGGTAATAACAACACCTCCCTTCCAGATTTGCTGGGAGAATCAAACGAGACAGCATAAAGGGCCACTGAAATGCTAACTATTATTATTGCTATTATAGCTGTCATTACTGGTATACAAAGGCAAGAGTGGCAGTCTCTACCCCAAGGGCCTTCCATTTGGCTTGGAAGGATACACCTGCCATTTGTTTTCCTTTCCTCTCCATCTCAGGTCCTCCCAAAGATGACATCCCACGTGGTGAACGAGATCGACAGCATCCTGCGAAACAAGCCGTACAGTAAAAAGGACTATCGCTCCTAATCCCCACATGAGGCGATGGAAGGAAGTGCATGGTTACAATAGGGGCTGTGCCCAGTTCAGAACTCTTCCAATATCCAGTCATCCAAGTCACTTAGCAGCCTGCTGCTCAACCTCTAGTGTTCCTGGATCTCCGAGGTGTCTGCTGTCGCTACCACTGTGCGCGGATGTTTGAAAGCACACGTGAAAACTCACCACGCCGCCCAGAAGAGTGATTCTATTTTCTTATCTACCACTAAAGCCGCCGCCGATCCTTGCTCTGTGTACCTCATACTTATGCAATGAAAAGTAGATGGAAAACAAAAACGAGATCTATAACCTTCAGGGATCTGGTAACTTGAAGAAGGCTGTACAGATATATTTTTTCAAATGAACAAAATCCACAGATGCGACTGTAGATATAAAAAATGTCTTAGCTATAGTCTTGGTAAGGCTTAGGAAGCAGGAGTAATTTCAGGTCCTTTTTTTTTTTCCTTTTCTGAAATCGAGTTTTCTTTCACTCAGTCATTAACAAAGCTGTCATTGTTATAGATGTGGACTTGGGAATCTCATCAGCATAGTGTACCCCTAGCATGGAAACTCCCTCCGCTAAGGCAGATTGGCAGCTTGTGAATAACAGTCTTAGAAGGTTCCCTGGGATACAGAGAGATTAAGGGGCTTCTCGGTCACACAGGTAGTAAGTGTCTCAGGCAGGACTTGCACCCAAGGCTCCAAAGGCAGCCTCTCTGTTACCTTTACTTTTAAATATCAGCTGCAGTTTGGACCACAAAGACTGTCTTCTTTCTATACCTTTGTCAGTGTTCCTATTCAGATATCAGTAATGTTCTGTTCACTCACGGATTAAATGAGTAATTGATGAGAGGATGGATCACATAATAATTAACCAGAGATGTTATGACGACTTTATGAAAGGGAGATAAATGTATGCTTCTAAGGAATATTAGTTCTGAATAAATCATAAACCAATGTATCTGCTAACAAAGTATTCATTTTTCTCTATATTTTATTAAAACCTGTTTCATACATTTGACTGCTTGTAGGTATTAGCTTCTGAAAGTTTCAGTATTTGAGCTTTTAAGATATACATGTGCAGAGTTGCAATTTAATGCTATAAAAAGCCCAGAAAAGGTAAATGTTCAACACTAAAACGAGTTCTGGGGTTTTGCTATCATTCTAATGCTTAGCATTTGGGGGGAGATGTCAACACGAAGCAGGTCATGTGATTCGTGGAGGTGCTGCATCACCTAGGCAGTAGGCTTTGGTCAATGTGAAGTCCCTCACTGACCCACTGAGAAACAGGTGAAACTTCCGGATGGCTCTGTAACCCCAATAAGTACATTAAGCCATAGTATGCATGAGATATAGCATGAGCTAAAAGCAAATGGTTGGTTGGGCACAAGTCGACCTTGGCCTTGAGCTGTAATGAATCCTGTTGCTGAATGACCTCTTGTATTCTTCTGTCGTATCACATTTGCAACACGTATCCACTTACCAGCGAAGCTGTGAGCTCCCTCCTATCCCTCAGTGGGGAAGAAACCAGTGTTTTGGCTGGTGGCCCATTAATGACCAGATCACCAGAAAGAAGTACAAAATTTCAGCCTTCATTTTCTCAGCAACAGGACATGTCACTTTTAAATGAAACACTTTGAACCCAAAGGATGTAGAATTGTAGAATTTGTATAGACTTGTATTTACTGTCATTTACAGAGATGAGTGGTTCAATGTTAAACCTTAAAGGGTAAAAGTGGAGCACCAACAATTTTTCCTTGATAATCAACAACTTGTAACTACTTCATGGAGATAATTCTGTTCCCCACTCCCACCCCCATCCGATTCGTGATAAAAACACCTTTAAAATCCATTTTGTATTTCATCTGACAGTCTACCATGTGTATATGAGCTGTGGTGCCACATATCAGGAATGCAATCTACTTACTATACATTTGCTTGGAGATAATAAAAGTATTTTGTGCATCTAATCTTCTAACTAGAAAGTTCATTATTCAATATTTTGTGAGGTAAACATAACATCACAAAAGAGGGAACAATCCATTGAATAAGATGTGTTATTGCTGTCAAGTACCGATGGGAAGATTGGTAACGAATAGGAAAAGGGAAAGGATACAATGACCTTAGATCTGAACCACCATAATTAGTTGGTCAAAAACACTCTGAATTTTGAATCCAGACATACAAGTTCAGATCTTGGTCAGCCCTCATGACTTGGAGGATGCTACCTGTCATTGTGGGGTTGGTGTCAAAAAGAACCGAGTTTAAATTCTGCCTCAGATACTTATTAGATGTGTAACCCCAAGCAAATCACTTAATTTCTTAAAATGAAGGGTTAAACTCAATGATCTCTAAAGTCAATTCTCTAACTCTATGATCCTATGTTATTCTTCTAACTAGTACCAGAAACTAAGGTTGGACAACTGGGCTTTTGTCTCACCAGGTCAAATTTTAAGGGTACTGATAGCTCTTAGAGTCCTTCCACAACACTCAGCAGCTGGTTAGTAATAACAGCAGTAAGAATAAAGGAAGAACAGTAAGTTTTAGATGAAATATAAAGTTTCCAATTCCTTATTGGGTTGAGCTCTCCCCTCCCCATGGGATTCAAATCCTGACTTATGCCTTATGCCATGATCTTTCGCCCCCCTTCCCTAATCCTTGAAACAGTTCCTTTTCAAGAAAATCTAGTCCAAATCCCCATTGAACAGATGAGGAAGTAGATTCATAATGGCTAAGTTAAGGGTATGGGTTTCTTGCTGCTTTGACCAGCTGGAGTTTGAGGTGCTCATCTCAAGCCCAAGAATTATTATAGTTCCGCTTCTAATTTCTAAAACAAGGACAAGAGAGTCCTAAAAAGAAAGAAAATTTTAGGCAGTTTCCAAATGAAAGGGGCTTGGAGAGATTTTGTACGAATAACATAAAGCCTCATCTTGCTCACTGGCCTTCAAACAGAAGGCAGAGTTGTCACTGAATTGTATTTGGACAGCCATGCACAAGGCCCTTTCCCTCCAAAAAAAAAAAATCCTCTACATTAAGTCTTAACCATGTTTGTGTCACGGACCCCTTTGGGAGTCTGATAAAGCCTACAGACTCCGTCTCAGAATAATGGTTTTTGCTACCTACATTCATAATTGAATGACATGCTGAATTTCAATTAGAGGTTATCTTTTACTCAACTAAATCCCCAGTTCTCCTGCAATCTAGAGGTCTCCAGGCCCTGGATGACAAACTTACACTCTAATTGCATGGGTTTTCTGTGACACACTTAAGAAAGATCTCCAACAATCTTTGCTTTTCTTAAAGGATGGAATCCATGTACATAGAACATTTTGTTCTTGGAAGCAAAATTAGCAGTCACGGACCTCAAACTCACAGCCAACATGACAAGAGAGGCACAAGGCATCCCAGTATATTTCCTAACTCCTTACTTCCCTTTGACAAAGAGTGCCAAGGTGTGGTTCAAGGCTGGCTCTGGGTCAATCTCCTCACCGTGCAAAAAAGTCACTGAGGGGAAGCAGCAGAGCCTGGCATACACAGCACCCCGGGGAGGAGGCCAGGCGGGCAGAGCCAGCAGAGGCGGGGCGATGCCACTGAAATTGTGCCTGCTCATTTTCACATATGACCCTCATCCTCTGCAATCTTTTGATCTGCCACTTCAAAAACTGGAAATGCAATTAAGCATACCTGGAATTAGGACACAGATTTAATTTTTAAAATGAAAATCACCCCGAACCCTAAAGAGGAGTTTTGAAAAAGTCCAAGATTTGGAAATGTTATGGGTTTAAAGGGAGCTGAAGTTTAATGGAACACTCCTTAATACTAAGGCCAAGTTGTCAAAGGGAAAGACAGAATCAGGGGCAGTCCACAACTAATTTTCTCTCCTCACCATAATTTGTCAGCCAAGTTAAGCTAACAGACATATACAAATGCCAACAGAGACCAGATCCCTTTTCTTCTCATCCTCACCTAGGAATCTCATCACACACACACACACACACACACTTCGAGTAATCAGGCAGGGTCATATCATAGCTAAAAGGATGGAGATAATGAGAATCCTTTGTCAAATTAAAGGGAGACCAGTAAAGTGAGGGAATTAGGACCCCCAAAATGGAGGCTACACATTTCCTGAAGCACAGGGTGACCTCCTGCAGAATCATAAAGCATGGCAGGGATCTTAGAGGTCACCTTGTCCATCTCCATTTTACAGGAGATGCACAGAGTAACTTACCCAAGATCACAACTTGGGATTCAAACCCTGACTCCATGCACCCTGCCCAACTCACTAACCTGCTTCCTCACTCTGCTCACCTCCATGGCAGCCAGGCACAAAACTGTGAAACCCTGAAAATCAGAGGATCTGCTCCCTCGCATGCTTTGCTTGTCCAAGCCCCCAGTGTCTAGGAATTCCACTGCGCCATCTCTGCAGCTAAGAGGCAGCCCCCAAGGGAGAGGCTAAGCCCAGACACCAGGGCAAACAGCTCAAAGTCTCTGGGAAACAGGATCTCTTATGGCTCTTTCCAGCCTTGGAGATATATTTGGGAAGCAGCCAGATGGCAGAGGGGAGAGAACACTGGACTTGGGATTTGGGAAGACCTGACTTCAAATCCTTCCTCCGACACTAGCAGGGTGACCCTGTGACAGTTCTCTCAGTCTCAGCTTCATCAGTGGTAAAATGGGAATAAGGGCACCAACTTCATCAAGTTGTTGTGAGAATCGAATACAAACAATTTTAGATAAATGTGAGCTACTACTGGACGGAAGCAGGAAGAGTGAGCCTGGTGGACTTGTAGAGAGCCTTCTGTACCACACAGGAGGCAAGAATGAAGGCACCTGCTGAGCAGAAGGCACCGACCTCCTTTACCTTGCTGTGGTGGCAGCATTCAAGGATTCTGGCCATAGGCTCCCACATAACGCAGAGCCCAGTGAAAAAACTGTTTTTGTCTGGAGGAAGGGGAGGGATGGTGCACACTAGAGATGTTCCAGCTGTGTCTGTAGTACTAAGATCCAATGAACACCCCTCTCCTTTTTTTTAAAGCCAGAATCTAAGGGAAATAAACTTGTACCTGAACCAATATGGCGCCACTGTTTTTTAGTGGAGGGGGAAGATGATGATAATATATAAAATGGGCAGGAGGTGGTGTCTATAATAATTTCACTTCAAGATCCGTAAAGTACTTTATTTACATGATTTCACTGGACTACCTTGTGAGGCAGATGCTGCTACCACCCCCGATTTTACAGATACTGAGGCACAAAGGGATGAAATGGTTCACCCTAGGGGAAACAGCTAATGTGTGGCTGAGGCAGGATTCAGACCCAGGTCTTCTGGTTTCCCCTCCATCTCTAACCACTCCCCTATGCAATAAAAAGGTTCTAATCGCCCGTATAAAACACCAATACAATGAGCCCTTGATAAAAACAACCTAACACTGGAGGATAATGCCGCACTGTTAGAAAAAGTATCCTTAAATAAACACAGGGGCATTTTATTGGAAAAAGACTTGGAAAACACTATTCTCAGGGAGTAAAAAAAAAAAACCAAAAAACCACCACTGTAAGGAAAGATCAGGTCCAGGAATAAATTCCACCTACCTCCTCTTCAAGTTCTTCAAGTCAGTTTCAATAGAAACTATTGTTAAGAACACGGATCCCAAACTCAACCATCACAGCTCCTTGGCTAATACTTGACACTGTTTGCCAATGCAGCTTGCTCCAAAGATGGGTGACATCTTTTTCATTTTTAATTGAGTGATGCCATCTAGTGGCAAATTTCCTGCAATTTTCAAAGTGACTTTGGTCAACTCTGGTATACCTGATTCAGTCACTGAATTGATATTAATATAAATACTAAGCCCCTATTTGAGCCAATGGTTCATATTCTTCCTCAGCAGCTAAGAAAATCTTAAACGTATGTAGCGTCTGTATATGGTGCAAGATTAGGGTTATTTCCTATCACTGTTGGATCAAGCTCTCATTACATTTTCATAAATGAGAAGCCTTCTAGACAAAATGGCAGTCAGAACAGAGGCCAAGGCAGATCAGCCTTCCCACATCTATCCAACCAAAACCTAAAAATCACATTATGGCCAATAATGATCAGGAATCCAACAAGGACTTCCACTTCCTGCTTCCACCTCACAACTACAGATAAAGTCGGCCAGAAACCCCCAGGTGATAGAAAAGGAGCTATCAGCCAAGTTAACACCACCAGCACAGGCAAACCAGCTCACGGCCTCCCAGTACAACAGAGACAGGCCAGAGAAACATGTGACCTACATGACCAATGATCAGAGCTTCCTGAAAAAGCTCCAGGATATCTGGCAACCCACCACACAGCCCTTGGAAGCTCACAGAATCCCTCAGGCTCTAAGGTCCCTAGAATTCCATCCCAAGATGCCACAGACAGCCTTGAAAATCAGGTGCATCAATCCTCATAGATCCAAGGGGGTAAGGCCAGAAGGTGAAATGTCAGTGAAGGAATCCAGGGCAAGACCAAACAGGGCTGATGACCACCCTATCTAGAAATACAGACGACAGAACCTGGGCCTAGCACAAAATCCCAGGCCAAGAATTACACTAGAAAGATAAGTAAACTGCAGAAAACACCTATTATGAGAAAACTATTGCAGATCCAGAGATACCCAAAAATCCAACCTAGAAAGAGTATTGATAACCACAAACATCGACTTAAAGAGAAAATGGGCTTTCCGTAGGGTCTGCATGAATAACTAGAAGAAATGGAGCTAGAAAATTTTGGGTGGTTGTTGTTTTAATGACATGAAAAAGCTCAAGGAAAGAATTGCAAAGAAACTAAATGGCTTCGATCAGAAAGTAGCAAATCTTGCCTCAGAAATGGGACATCTTGGGTCAGCTAGGTGGCACAGTTGGATAGAGCAATGGCCCTGGAGTCAAGAGGACCTGAGTTCAAATCTGACCTCAGATACATAACACTTACTAGCTGGGTGACTCTGGGCAAGTCACTTAACCCCAACTGCCTCGCCAAAAAAAAAAAAAAAGAAATGAGACACTGAATTCAGAACACATCAAACAGAAATCAATGACTCCATGGGATAGTAAGAAACATTAAGGAAGTAGGAGAAAATGTAAGATAGCTGTCACACACACACACACACACACACACACACACACACACACACACAAACTGACCTGGAAAACAGGTCAAAGATGGATAATTTAATAATCATTGGCCTCCCTGAAAACCATGTTTAAAGCAATTTTTAAAAAAACACCTAAACACTATATTTCAAGGAATCAAAAATTAAAACTACCCAGATCTACTACAACCAAAAGGCAGTAAATATAGAATGTATACATCTATCACCTCCTGAAACCCTAAAAGGAAAAGTCCAAGAAATGTCACAGTCAAAATCCAGAGCTCCCACATCAAAAATTCTGCAAGCATCCGGAAGAGTTGAGGTAGTAACCACAGTCAGAATCATGTAAGTTGCTACAGCATTAACTATAGTTTTACAGCATTTACCAGCAACTCACACTATAAATAAGAAAAGAGATGCAAACACAAATATTCCAAAAGGCCAATGATACGGGCTTTCAACCAATAACTTACTCTGGTGCTGAGTCTAATCCTGCAAGTAGGAAAAAAAAGATCTATAATAGAATAGGAGATTTAAAAGTATTTCCAATGAAAAGCCCAGAGCTGAGAAGAGACTTTGAAAAGCAGACACCAGAATCAAGGGACACCTAGAAATGCAAATTTCTTTAAGCGAGGGCAAGGGGCTGTATGATGACACAGTGAAAGTATCCCTTTAGAATTTTATTTTTCAAAGGAAAGTGAAAGAATTAAATTAAGAAAAACAGGCAAAACCTGGGAGTGTCTTGGTTCTATTCTGAGGGTGGGTTGTTTGTTTTTGTTATTCCAAACATTTTCAAAAGAGTTCTGTGCAAGGCATTTAAAACATAAGTTTGTGAGGATAAACTCCACTGGAGAGAGAGAGAATATAGAACGCAGGTAGCCACAGGGCTGAGGAATGTTCTTGATTTATTCTGAGGATTTCAGATCAGGAAAGAGAACGGAGGGTAACATGAGGAATACACTACTGTGGAACGGAGGAAGAAGGGGACGGAACTTGGATATCCCAGAGTGGGCTACATAAGAATATATACACACACACACAGAGAAAGGGCTGGGGAAGCAGGCATCTCGTGAACCTAACACTCTTCCTTGAACTTTCAAAGGAGGGCTGAAAACACCGACACATACACAGTTTGTTGTAGAAATGCATCATATTCAACAGAAAAATAAGTGGAGATAGGAAGAAGGATTAAGAGGGAGATTAATACTGGGGAGGGAACAGTTACAAGCTAAACAAACTCCCTGATTCTGAAGGGGAAATTAAAAGAAAACACCTGGAACATAGGGGGAGGAGAGTGCCCCTCAACTGGGGAATGGCTGAACAAATTGTGGCATATAAATACAGGCTGTCCCCAAAGATTTAGCACAATTTTAAGCCTTAATAGCTTAGAACGTAAGCTGTTAAGGCTTAAAGCCGTACAGACTTTGGAACAGCTGTGTGATAGAATATTCTCGCATTGTAAGAAATGACACTGAAAAGTCTTGGGAAGGATGAGCTGACACAGAATGAGGTGAGCTGCACCAGAACCATTTGGAACAATAGCTCTGAAAGGTGTTTAGGAATGCTGACTGAAGCAGTGGAGTTTGGCTGTCTCCAGAGGCTCTGGGTGAAGCACAAGACCCGGCTCCTGAGAGGTGATGCAAGGTGCAGAAAGACACATGCTTCTGAACATGAAATAAACAGCAAATAAAAAAATAAATAAATTCATAGTGTGGGAAAGGGCCTACATACCCAACCACCCCACCAGTGAGTTCTTTGTGCATTTTTTCTGTAACTTTATTGAGGATTAATGATTAGCAACCAACAAAGAGAGCCCTGGGAAATGCCTTCCTCCAGCCTGCGCTATCTATACAAAACACACTCACGGCCTCTTCCTTTCACATACACTTTCACGTCGCCCTATCAGAATACAAGTTACAATGACTGACAAGTTAGCTTCTAACAGTGATTGTCTTATGGAGCTAGAAAGGCACTTTTAAAAGATTACAATCTTTCACGTCACAAATAAGGAACCAAGATTTCTAGAACAGTTAAATGATGGGCCCAATTTTAAGAAAGCAAGATTTGAACCCAGGTCCTAAATGCAAATCCACAACTCTTTCTACACCACAGCACACTGACTCCAGCTGTCAATAGATGACAAGTATAACCTTTTCTTTTTCAAATTCCAAATTTAATAGGAGTTATTTCAGATGTACAAGCTACGTTCCTCTGATACACTTGCACTGAGGGCTTTAAAGAATGACCAGATGTGGTGAGCAAAAGCTAACCGGAACATGAGACTGTCAGCACTGGTGACTGTCATCCCATTACCAAACTGACATAACTCCCACTGGAACTCTGCTGGCAAGTCCAGAAGCAGCCCCAAGAACCCTTCTCCAGACAACTTTCAGAACCCTCTAACAAAGAGCACAAGGCTTCCTCTGTACTTTCAAATGCCACTGAGATCCTGTGGAGAAGTGTGTTCATGTTCGCCTTCAGGGATGTCAATGAAATTTCAAGCCCGGGAAGCTAAACCAACAGGATTGACATGGTCAACATGACCGAGTTTCTGACCACATGGGGCTAACATTGTAGAGATCATTAAAAAGGCAGGGATTTAATAGTATGTCCTTACATGCCCGGCAGGACAGTTCTGTTTGTAATCATCTCCTTTAGACAACAATTTTTTGAAACTGTAACTTTTCTAATGTTTTTCCCCATGAAAAAATTTGAGTGTCCAAGCTTTCTTTTAAATGAAATATTTCAAATTCTAAATTTGGGACATTTTTAGGTCTGTTGCATAAAAGTACAAATAAGGCTGCTGATGAAACTAAGAAAGAAAAGAATACATTTTGGTATTTGCTGTTAAAAAAATTTATAATTTTCTACTGGGAACACAGAGAACTGGTTATTAACTTCTTGCTTTTATAAAAACAACAGAACAGCTCAGGTTACTGTGACCTTTGACAGGTCAAAGAAACAAGTTATTTTCTGCTCAAATGTAATTATAGCTTATTATGAAGTACTCTTTGCCGTTTAATAAATGTTCTGGGACACTGAGTTTTCTGGCCAATTTATTTATTTCAACAATCTGTCAAAAGGAGCCCAAAAGAAAGTTATTTTACATTTTCTTAGTTTTAAAAAACACACACAAAACCTGTTAAATTTGACTATAAAAAACAGTTCTTGGGTGCCTCCCTCCCCAAACCCTCTCCTCCTCCTCTCTGGCCTACCACACCTCCCCCCTACAAAGAAGGATCTGTTTGTTTATTTGGAGCCAGTAGACAGCAGGGCGATCAGGCCTGATGAGGCACTTATGGATAAGATATAGTTCCTGAAAAGGGTTAATTGTTAAGGAAAAATTCAAACCCCTCAAATCACACCATGCCTAAAGCACAGGAGCTTCTCCACACAGTGTTTAATCACAATAATCTGCAACTGGCAGACTAGAAATAAATTCCCAAGGCAGAGGTCTACCAGGAATGAGAAACATCAGCAGAAAACCTGCCACCACCTTAAAGAAAGTCTAGAAGACAGGGATGGCGACTGACTCACCTAACTACATTTAATCTTAAAGGAACAGTTCGTTAAGCACCAAGGCAAGTGTGAAGGGAGGAGACAACTGTTCTTCTCCATGAGTCAAGGATGGCAGCAGCCCTCAGGATGGACCCCAGCCCCCAGGGCTATTAGGAGACCCTCAGGGGGGACCCCAGCCCTCAGGGCTATCAGGCAGCCACCAGGGCCTCTCAGACAGACGTTTTGGTCTCCAAGCCCCTCGGGCATTTCCACAAGGTTATGGCTGGCTGAAGCATAACTTAACTGTACACTCCCAGACAATACCTTTAATAAGTTAGTAAAAACAAGACACTTTTCCTGCCCAGTGGCTCCATTATGACATGAAACAAAACCTGACAGTTTGGGGCACTGCATGGTATCATGACATGGACCTCTTCCAAAGCCCTTATGGCCCAGCCACAAGAAAATACCAGCAGAGTCGCTGGGCTGGACAATCTGGAGCTCCAAGATACCCACAGTGACAAGCAGCTTCAGTTTCAAAATCGTGTTACACACTCCTGCGAAAACAGGAATCCCTCAGCACATGTTTGGTATTGATTCTTATCATCAAACCACATAACTCTGGAGCTGGAAAGCTCATGTAATCCAGCTCCAATCCCTTACCGGGGAGGAGCTAAGGGAGACCCACAACAAAGGGGCTTCCCATCTCGGGGGATGCTTCACAGCCCCCCCCCCCCAGCCCAAGAAAAGGAAGGTCTTGAGCAGCTCAAAGGATACACGGTTGGGTTGAAGTTCTTCAGGATAAAGAAAGAAGCCACAATGACCAAGACCAGGAAAAGCGTGTTATTGTAGAAGATGGAGAAGGTGGTAGCTTCATAATCAGCCACTTCATTCTTCTTCCACAGGATTCTACAGACACACAGGGACGGCAATGTCAAAGCTCCAAGCACGTGGAGCACAGATGTCTGTCGGGGCCTGAGAGGTCTGGGGGGAAGGGGGAGGATTCTAGACAGGACAGAATGGGACCCGAGGAACAGGACAGGACAGAGAGGTGATGTCTATGCTGGCCAGAAGCCTGGCAATGCTCTGGCTTTGTGTTCCGGGGGATAAGAAGCCACAGAGCATCCCTTTTTCTACCACAGAGGGCAGGCACCATGCCATTAAGGAGCTGACAGTCTGAAGGGATACATAAGCCACAAAACGGGAGCAAAATGACCATGCCTTACTGGTCTTCATCAGTAGGGGCTGGGCCAATGAGTCATCAGCATTTATGAAGCATGAAGCTGCTCTTGCCCTCAAGGAGTTTATGGTCTCTTGGGGGAGACCACCTCTGCACAAAGTAATTCTGGTGGGGAGGGGGGTCAGGACAAGTCTGTACTTTAGGAAAGGCAGCTAGCAATGTGAGGAGGAAGGGCCTTCCAGGCCTGAGGGGCAGCTCATACAGGTCCTGAGGCTGGAGGTGGAAGCCATGTGTCTAAGCTGGAGATGGAGGGGAGGCAGCCAGTGGGAAGGGTCTGCAGTATACAGAAGCTGCTCTGGATCCCGCACCTTTGGCAGCCAGCAGGAGGCAGGGAGACCAGAACGGCACATACCCGCCGCCATCCAACTCTTCAAACCTATACTAGGTGGGTGGGGCAGTCCCTGCGTCAGGGGCCGAGAGAGGTACAGAAATAAATCAACTCTCCCCTAGACCATCTGGCGTCTCTTAGGCAGTTAACTTCATTATTCAGGGATTGATTTATCCAGGCCTCTCCCCTCTTTTTGGCAGGGCACTGCTCTTAGCGTTAGGAGCTAAATTAGAAGTTGGCAGGAGAAGGGGGAGAGAGGGAGCCCAACGGGTCCCGCTGCTAAGTGTCGGCAGCTCTGGCCAAGCCGGGGGGGAAGGGGAGCCGGCAACGACAGCAGGCGCCATCTCCCATTCCCCACGTGCACAGAGATAACCACAAGCCAGCCGGGAGACAGCGGAGAACTGGGGGCAGGCGAGACGTCTAGCCTCAAGCTCGAGTGAGAAGAGTGTTTAGGGGACAGCACTTGACTCACTCAGGCTCCCTACACAGAAAATGCTACCTCTTCTGTTAGAAATTCTAAAATTTAAAAACACATCTTAAGATTTTTTTCCCCAAATACCTTTATATTCTTGTTAAATTCACAAACCCTTTGGTTAAAAAACCCCACCTTTCGTCTTTTTCCTTGCGAGACATCTTCCTGTTGTCAGCCTCAGAAAGTTTCCGAGTCACTTCTTTGGAGACGGCATCCTCTCTCTTCTGGGCGACCCTGGGGGGAAACATGCACAGTTTTCACAAGCACTAAGTACAAGCGCCCTCCTATAAACAACCCCTCACAGTTCGCCTTGGCAGCTGTGGGATACACTACACTGGACCCCCAAACTTATTGTCTACAAGCATGATTTGGCCTAGGTCAAAGGCAGGCCGAGAGGCCACACTGCTAAGGTACTTTCCAAAGCTGTAGTGGTGATTTGGTTTGGGTTATTTAAAGAAAAGAAAATGCACCAAAGTTTAGACATTCAATAAATCTATAAATGCAAAGTCATGAGTACAGCTTTCAATCAATGCCAATTCTATTTACTACTTTTACCTAAAATGGCAAACCGACACCTCAAATTCTATTCATTTGACTAATAAGTAACAGGCACAAACATCCATTGCCCTATCAATAATTTAAGGGCAACCTGTGTGATTCTGGATCCACTTAATTCTTTCTATGATGTGCCACATGGACAAAGGGGAGATAATTTACACTGGTCGAAATAACAATTGGGAATGGACCTCACGTGGTGACCTCAAGAAGACTGGGAGGCATGGACCCCAGAGGATACTGCAGATGCTACAAGGTCATCACAGAGACCAGGCTCATCCTGAAAACACTGAGCGGCTACTCTGCAGAAACCTTGATTTGAAACAGAGAGAAGGAGGGAGGCAATGTACAGATAAGTAAGACATGATCAGCAGCCTGTCCCCAGGGCAAAGAAAATGAAAGAGGGATGACTGATAAATACGGCTGCTAATGAAAGGCAGAAATGAAATCCAAAATGACTTGATAAATTAGAAAAACAGTCATAACATAAGCTAAGTCAATCCAACAAAGAGTCACTAAATGCCAATTCTGTGCAAGGGTCTACACTAGAGTCTGGACACGAAGACTTAACATGAAAGTAACAGGCACAATATAGTGCCCACTTAAAGACCCAAAGTCTTACAAACATAAGGAAGGTCGACTCGGCAAAGACACAGAGCAAAGAAACAAGGAGGTAAAGGGAGCTGGGGCAGGGGAGGGTGTTAGGCACTGGGAAGAAATGGTGACCCAAAGCTGAATGTAATTCACTGCAGAAGACACCAGTCTAGTACTGACAGAATGTGCCTTGTTAGGTCTGTGAAAGTAATATTTCCCCTAAGCTTTGAATAAAACCAGATTTATACATTAAAAAAAGATATGGAAAAATAGAGTCTCCAGAGATTTAAAGTACAAAAAATAAGTCCATTTAGGGAAAGTGAAAGGAACCGGGCGATTTAACCTAGGCAGCTAGGTGCTGCAGTGAAGAGAGTGCTGGTCCTGCAGTCAGGAGGACTTCCTGAGTTCAAATCTGGTCTCTGACATTTACTAGCTGTGTGACCCTGGACAAGTCACTTAACCCTGTTTGTCTCAGTTCCTCATCTGTCAAATGAGCTGAAGAAGGAAAGAGTAAACTATGTCAGCATCTTGGCCAAGAAAAGCCCAAATACGGTCACTGAGAGATGGACATGACTGAAAGGGCTCAACCACAACAAGGGCAACTAAAGGAAAACAAACCACTGTCTTTAAGTAAATAAAGAACACAGAGAAGTTCAGCCTGAAGGAAGGAAGGAGGGAGGGAGGGAGAGAAAGAAGGAAGAAAGGTTCAAGGCACAGGAGAGATCTGGTTGAGTACAAGCATCCTACTGACCAGCAGGGGAATGGAGTGACCTACCAAGAGAGGCGATGGTGGCCCTAAGCGTAGGAGAACCTTCAGTGACACGTGCAGCCATCTGTCCATTCAACTTCCTGAAGGCAAGGAAGTTGGGCCAAGGCAGTTAAGTCCAAGGTTCCATGACAATATACTGGAATTAACCCAGAAGACAGTCTCCCTACTGTTATCGGCCTTTGCACCAAACTGGTTCTACAATGCTCAGCACAGGCCTGTCGACTCGCTGACCTGGCCAAATGGCCATTACAGCCCAAACTGCATTAAGGCAGCCACGGCTCGATCGACAAGCTGGCACCAGGGGGCCTGGAGAAGCCGAAGCACTGAACCGGACACTGAGGGCGATTCCCAAGGACACAACAGCTTGCCTGCTGCTCTCAGGAGTGTACAACACACACAGAGAGGCCACAAAGCACAGGGCTGCAAGTCGCCAAGCACAACTGTGTGTCCCGGGATAGCTGGACTCTGTGACACGCCCAGTCATGCCTTCCTGCAGTTAAGACTGCTGAGTCTTGAAGAAATTCTTGACACAAACTGGTGTTAAGAAAGACAGGAGGGGGCAGCTAGGTGACGCACTGGATGCAGCACCGGCCCTGAAGTCAGGAGGACCTGAGTTCAAATCCAGCCTCAGACCAAACACTTGCCACTCACTACCTGTGTGACCCTGGGCAAGTCACTTTACCCTGACTGCCTCACCAAAAAAAAAAAAAAAAAAAAGACAGGAAGGGACAGCTAGGTGGCGCAGTGGATAGAGCACCGGCCCTAAAGGCAGGAGGACCTGAGTTCAAATATGACCTCAGACCAAACACTTGACACTTACTAGCTGTGTGACCCTGAGCAAGTCACTTAACCCCAACTGCCTCAAAAAAAAAAAAAGACAAAGTATGGATGGTGCGAATTAGCAAGTCACCAATGAAAAGATGGAATGATGGAATGAAAACAAACCTGGAGGGACCCAGCAAAGTCAGCTGACTGATGCTATCCAAGCCCTGGGAGTGAGCAAATAGGAGGAGATGTTCTATAGCAAAGAGGAAGATTATTCCAGCACCTTTACAGAGGGTGAATGAGGTAGGGAGGGACCAGTTACAGAGCCCCGGTGGAAGGAACGAAGGTCTGTTCAGCACAAAGGGAGAGGAAGAGCTAGCCCACCTTGGCCTGTTTGCGGCCACAGATTTCCAAGGACGGCCCAAGGAAAAGGGCTAAAAGAGCTGTCAAAAGTTCACAAGATTCATCAATTCACAGAACCTGACTTGGCAGGGACCTTGGAGCCCAACCTGTCCAACCCTCTCCTAAGGTTAGAGGCGAGGAAACAGGTTTAGCAACTCGCCTGATGTTATATGACTATGACCTGGCAGAGCCGAGATGAGACCCTAGGGCGGGGCCTGTCCTGCTTCAGCAAATCAACGCGAGACGTACAAGAGAGAGGCAGGAGACAAGCCAACTTCGGTTTTAACTCAGCATTAACCAAGCTTCAAGTACTCATGAGGTCCACTGAGACAGTCACTTAAGACGAGAAATAATAATTCCCCTCCAACTTCTTCCTAGTCGTATACTAAGTTTGAAAACATATACAAGAGTTGACAACGTCAGGAGAGTCAGTAAAAGAAAGCAGTGATTCTTTCCCACTCTGCCATTTCACACAATGGATGCCATTCTCTAAGGACATGAATTCACATACAAAAATACAACAACTATGTCAGAAATTGAGTCCGTCTAACTTGGGGGTGGGGGGAGCTTTGATGTCATTCTTGGTTTTTGGAGGAGGTGTTTTTTGAAACTGAAGGAACATTCTGAGGGTCTCATCCCTGCCTTGGAATGATCTCCATGGTAGTATGAGACATCTCACAATCTCTGGGTCAGATTTTCAACAATACCTGTAACTAACTCTAAAAGACTATGCCACCGACCAAAATAAAACACTGATGGGGAAAAAAATCCTAAGAAGCTTTTGATGGCTAAAAAGAGACTATCTGGATATTGTTTTAAAAAACTGAATAAACATTCACCTGCAAAGTACTTACTTGTGTTTAAGGACAAACTTGACGTTCTTATATGCAAAAGCGACCAAGTAGGTGCTGACCAGGGTCATGACGCTGTAGAGGACCGCCGACTGCACAAGGTCCATGTGCCATATCCTCCAGTAGAGCCCTGCAATGGACAAAGCCCTGGCCTGAGTGACCGCGACTCGGTCTCAGGCACAGACTGTGGAGTCAACAAGATGCCTTTATACACAGTGTCCCAAAAGTCTTCGTGCAGCTTCAGAAGTCTAACTGCTACAAAGTTACAAAAAACATCATTTGAAAGTTTATTAAAATTTCTTTTACAATTTGGTGAACTCTGAATAATAAATTTTTAATTTTTTTTTTAGAAGATGGCATACTCTATCTTTAGGCAGTGCGTGTGTGTGTGTGTGTGTGTGTGTGTGTGTGTGTGCTTCTGGATGACACCACCTCGGTCCCCTGATCTAGCCCCATTAGGCTTTTTCTTGTAGGATAGTGTCAAAATTGTCACATATGTATCAAAATGGCATACTCTGGATGCTCTTGAGACTGGTATTATAAATGCAACCCATTCAGTCACTGAGCAGCAGTTGATGAAAGTTTTTACCGAGTCTGAAAACTGGCCATGCTGAATTTCAATAAGAAACATCAATATTTTTAAACTTAAAAATTAATCTTTCAAACACTGTTTTTTGAAAGTTTGCAGCACTGCATTTCTGGGGTTATCAAAGCTTATAACTAACTGCGCTAAGACCTTTGGGACACCCTATATTAACTAAAGTTTGGCAAAGCCCCCCAAAACCTGGACCCGCACGCTGCTGGCAACCCCAAGATGGGAGCCCACACGTCGAGGAGGCCATGAGCTTGGACTCGCTCGTTTTATACAACAAACCACAAACTGCTCCCATTTCTATACCCACTAAGGCTACCAGGGGGAGACAAGGGAAGTGCTGAGAATCATAACCATTATAAAAAGGAAGGAACTGAGACTCCAACATTTTGGGTGACTTGCCCAAGGTCACACACAGCTAACAGTCACAGGATCACAGGACTTAGGTATGAAAGTGATCTTTCCATCCAACTTCTTCAATTTAAAGATGAGAGAACTGTGGTAACAAAGAGTCAGAGCAGGAAGGGACCCTAGTGATCATCTGGCCCAACTCCTCAACTTACAGATGAGAACATGAGGCCCAGAAGAAAAGGGCCACCTCTGGCCCAAGGTCACCTGGGAATAAGTAACAGAGCTGGGACTGAAGCCAAGGTCCTCTGACTGGGAAGCCAACACTCCCCCCCCCAGCCCCCCACGTCTGCTGGCATCGTGTAGGTAAGGGGCAGAGCCCAAAGGGAACGTGGCTCTTCTGCCTCCAAAGATGGGATGTCTCCAGTGTAAAGCAAAAAGGACAACTTGACGCTGACTCCCCAAACCCCAAAAGTATTCACCCCATAGATCTGTCTGAGAGAACAGAGAGCCTGGGCCTGTTACTAACTGGTTACAAGACCTGAACTAGGAACAAGGAGCTGGGTTTACTGTTACAAAAAGAAAAGGGGGGGGGGGCACAGAGACACTCAACTGTCCTCACTGGGAGTTGTGAAGTGCAATAGTACTACAGTAAGAAAAGGTGTTTGTCAAAGAACAAAAACACTAAAGCTTGAATAAAGCTACCGGCAACACCTCTCAAAAAGGAGAGGGGCACCATCCCAGCCACTGGGGAGCAAGAGGTTAGGAAAAAGCACTCTGGAGAGGGGGGCAGCAGAAATGCCATCCTCTTCACCGGGGACAGCAGATCACTGCATGCTAGAGCTGGGAGGGGCCGCAGAGAACACTTGGCCAGCCCTCTCCTTTCACAGGAGAACAACTGGCTAAGAGGAAGAGGGTGGTGGACAGAGAACTGGACTGGGAGTCTGGGCCTAGGTGTGAGGCCTGGTTGTGACTCATAGAACTGACAGGCAGGCGAGGCCAAGCCATTCATTCATCCAGGAGCTCTACGGCACAGCTCAGACAGAACACTGTGTGATGGCCACAGCCCTGGACAGTCCTGGGTTCCAGATTCTGCCCGGCCACCACTGTGTGGCCCTGTCCCTTCCCTTCACCTCTGGGAAAGGCAGATATGAGGACTTCTAGCTCCCTGATCTCCCACTCAACTGTAAGCTCCTGGAGGGCAGGGGCTAGTTTTTGATCTCCAGTGCTTAGCACAGAGCCAGCACATACCAGGTGCTTAATGAACCTGTTGAATTGCATCAATCTGTTCCCACCCTCAATGCTCCCTCTCCCACGCTCCCCATCCCACCAACAATTCCAGGTCTGGCCGGGCAGGTCCTAGGGTCCTGAGCTCCAGCCAGCACCCCCAAATGCTCCCGTCTGGTTGGCATCTCAAACGCCAGAATGCAGGGTCTTCTTGCGCCCCCAGACCTGAGCCACACGATCACATCCCCGTTCCTCTTCTTCACAAGCCGCCCCCCACCACTCACCCCATTCCAAGCCTCACATCCCTTCTCCCGTCCCCCCCCCATCATCCCATCCGCTGCCCCTCTGGTCCATTCCCCAGTCTTCATCCCCCACTGACGTCACCGGTCCTTACTATCTCCTGGCTTCAGGCCTGCGCTGGGGCCGCTGACCTAGGTCAAGATGCTGCAGAACGGGCCTGACCACGTCCATCCCCGTGCTCCCCGAGGATCACTGTCAGGGCCCACACCCCTCCTCCGACCTGGGTGCCCCCTGGCCAAACCTGGGTCATTTAACCCCATGTTTATGTGTCCTCCGCCTTGGGGATCCATCAGGGACTGGGGCTGGGAGGAGACTCGGAAGCCCCCAGCCCATCTGCTCATTTTACAAGAGGGGAAACTGAGGCCGAGGAGGGCAGGAGCAGGACGAGCCTGGTCCCAGCAGGGGCTTAATAAATGGTTGACTCTCGTCCCATTGAACCCTTTCCTCTACCCCCCCCCCATCCAGGCCAGATCTGGAGCCGCCAACGGAGTCTCCTTCGGGGCAGAGGCGACCCTGGGCCTCCCCCGCTCCGCCACCCGCACCGGCTCCCTGTGGTCTCCTGCTCCGCTCTGCCGTATGGCCGCAAGAACGTCCTCAGTTCCCCCCTCCATGCCTTTGCTCGGGCTGGGCCCCCAGGCCTGAAAGCACCACGCCTTCGCCTGAGCCGCCCCCCCCCCGGTCCCCAGGCTCGGTATACAGTCGTCTTCGCTTCGGCTTACACACTTACACGGGCAGCTTACTGCTACGCACTTAAAATGTAACGGGAAGGGAGCACGCACTTACGGAGCGCCTACTGTGTACAGGACGCCCCGAGTAGGCTCGCAGCGCTTGGTATGCAGCAGGTGCTCAGTACGGGCTGGTGAAGCCGGCCTCCCCCGCCCGCCACGTCCCCAGGCCGCCCGCCGGGGCCTACTCACAGATGGGGATGGCCGACACGATGAAGGCGTTCCCGAAGAAGAGCGCCGACGACTTGGCCGAGAGATTGCGGCTGAAGTCCTGGAGGAGCAGGTCCTCCTCCGACTGCTGCTTGAGGCCACCCTTGGGAGCCATGGCCGGGACCGGCGACACGACAGCACACGGCCGGCTCCGCAGCCACCCTCTGCAGCGCGGCGCAAGCGCGGAGCGGCAACGGCGAAGGCCTGACCCCGCCCCTCGCGGCCGCCGTACCCCAGAGCGACCCGTCAGCGCAGGCCGGGGCGGGACTGCCGCCGCCGCGGAGCCAGACCCGAACTGCGATTGGGCGGCGCGGATGCCAGTCTTCACATTCGTGACGTGTGAGAGCGGCCAGGGCGTTCAGTTCCGGGTCCGGTGCGGCGCCGCAGCGACGTGGCTGCGAGTGGTTGTGACGCACAGGGGAGGAAGGAGGGACTTGAGTCTGGGTTTTTTTTAAACTCTGAAACTTTATTGACAACAAGAGTCACAGACACTGACATGGAATGCGTTCTCCGAGGAGGGGGAGGAGAGGAGGAGGAGTGAAATCTGAGGTTGGACCAGAGGGAGGAGTCCTTCGTTGGTTCTTTTGTTCAACTCTTCATTCATTCATTCATTCATTCATTCATTCATTCATTCATTCATTCATTCATTCATTCTCCCTTCCAGATTACCCTCTATTTATTTGTTTTGTTTATTAACATTATTTTTATACTGTGTATTTACATATAGCTTAATATATTGTGATTTTACATAATTATGTGCATATATAATTGCATCTTGTGATTACCTTGTAGCCATTTGTATGTTTATTAATGTTATATTTGTTGTGTATTTACATATATTTTAATGTTTTATAACTATGCAATTATGTATGCATGTATAATTTATTAAATATAATTAATATCTTCTAACTACCTTGCATTTAACCATTTATATCTGTTTGCATTTATTAACATTGTATTTATGCTATGTATGTATATGTAAATATATGTGTTTGCATATATTTACTTATATGTTAAGAATGCCAGGTTGCACTGTGGGTAGCTGGGCTTGAAGTCAGGAAGACCTGATTTCACGTTTGACCTCAGACACTTTCCAGCTGAATGACCCTGGGTAAGGCGCTTAACCTCTGTCTGCCTCAGTTTCCTCAGTTCATTTCATTCATTCAGTAAACATTTATTAAGCGATACGTGCTGGTGATACCAAAAAAGAAGCAAAAGATGGTCAAATAAAGATGAAGATGATGAAGATGGTGATTGATGATAGTAGCAATGATAGCACCTAGCTCCCAAAGCTGTTTGGGGATAAAATGAGATAGCATTTGTGAAACACTTTGCCAACCTCGGAGGGCTAAGTTATTTTATGTGTACTTGCTGTCCCCATTAGAATGGAGGCGCCCTGTGAGTAGGGATTGTTTCAGCCTTTGTACTGGTATTCCCCAGCACATAGTAACAACCCACGGTTCTAAAGCACTAAAGATCTGCACAAAATCACGTAGCATGGGTCTAGCCTTTGTCTCCTGCCCGAGGAAGGCCACACAGCTGCCGTTTTGGTTTTGGTTGGGACCCTTTAATCTGGCTGCTTGATTCTGGCCACACAGGATGCAAGGCTTGTCCAACACTTCTGTACATCCTGAGGCACTGACAGGGGCTATCCTCCCACCTTCCCTTCACAGCCTGGCCAACAAGCTTTCTTCCTCACTTCAATGTCAATTGAGTTAATTCTGAACAATGTAGACATTGTTCCCTTCTAGTCAGTACAATGATTTCAGTATTAAAATTCCACTTGTGGCGGGAAAGGGCAGAAGGTAAGGAAAGGCTGTGGCCTTTTGTGAGAGGAATCTGACTCCCAGCATTTATTAGCCACCCACCCCAAACCCCACCCTCACAATAACCAAGAAATGTGAACAAATACTTGTTTCCTTGACTGTGTTAATAATTACGAGGGTCGTTTTGCCACCAGACATATTGTGCAATCTTGGGGAAGTCCTCTTCTCTCTGCTGCTCTTGGTTTCCTCAGCCCAGTACGTAAAGCCAGGGGTGTGCTGGTAAATGTTTGACAACTGTCCCTCGGAAAAGTCCAACACACTTCTAAGTTTAATTGGTGTTATTAACATTTTCTCCATGGCTTCCTTAAGTCTAGACAATCAACAAAACAGATGCTCACACTGAAAATTTAACCACAGGCTCTCTAAGCCAGTGTGAGCTGGCTCCAGCACACCCCTTTGTAAAGCCCTCCTTACTCTGACCTCTCCTGTATTCTTTATTTTTAATCATGCCTTTTGGTTTTATATCACATTTACTTCTGAACATAACCCTTTCCCATCCCCACTAGCCCACTGAGCCTTCCCTTGTGAGAAAAATTCTAAACAGAAAGAAGAAATAGCAGTTCCACAAAAGTGCCACATCTCCTGTGTCTGACAGCTCATGTGGTGCATTCTCTTAACTCGGTTCTGGCAATTGGCTTAGTCATTTCAGTTACAAAATGTTCCCTTTCATTTTATTGTTTCTTTTTTCCATTTACATTGTTGCAGTAATAGGCATAGTTTCCCTGACTTTGCTTAATTGACTCTGCCTTACCTCCCATGCTTCTCCAAATTCTTCATTTTCCTCATTATTTATAGTATAAGAATATTTTGATACATTTGTATGCCCCCAATTGTTGTCATTTCTTAATTGATGGGCATTTATTTTGTTTCCAGGTCTTTGCTACCATAATAAATGCTGCGTGAATAGCTTGATATGAAACCTTCCTAGTTTTTAGCCACATGGGATATATACCTACCAATGTGATTTTTGGATCTACATACACTTATTTCATCTTACACCATCTTTCACCCACTTGTGCCAGGCAAACTTGCTTCCTGGCTGTTCCTCTAAACGGTATCCCATCCTCCACTTTCCTGCTTGGCAGAGTCTGGCCTATGTATAGAATACGCTCTCTCCTTGCATATATCCCGTAGAATCTCTAATTTCATTCAAACCCCAGCTCAGAGGCTTTAGACATAATAGTGATTACTTGATATCTCAGTTGTTAATGATCTTTCGCTTTTATTCTTAAAATTACATTTGTAGCACCCCCATCTGGGCTGCTCCCCCAGAGGTCACTTGCTTCTTTGGGATCCAGGATTAATTCTGTGAGTCATCACTCCTAACACTATTGCTCATTAGCCCCTGCTAGTGTGCTTCCTATGAATCATATGACAGTAGGTATAATCAGCTCTTAGCAAGGAAAGGCATCTGTGAAGATGGCAGAGTTAAAAACAGTAGCTAGAAAATTACCCATCCACCCCCCCATACACGCATGAGATAAATTCCCCCACAAATGCTCACAATATCTGTGGGAAAAGTAAGAACAAATTTAGAGTACAATAGTAATGAGGCATACACATGGAAAACTCACGTGGTCAAGGGAACCATAGCTCCATACGAAAGTGACACAGGCCCTGAAAGTTGCTTTTCTATTCCTAGAGACCCTTTAGTTACAGCATCCCTGCTTGAAGGGTTACTGAGTTGGGAACCTGAGGTCTCTTCTTCTCCAAAGCTCCCAATTGCCAGGGCTAGTTCCCTTTTGGGTCCACAGTCAGCTCTCTTCTCTGCTGCCAGGGGTTCCTTTCCTCAAAGCTGTTTCTGGCCTCACCTGCCTGCCTACACAGATATTTATCTGGAGTGTATAACTCTGCTTCCTCTACTGTGACTCAAACTCTTGAACTGATGAACTCAGACTGCTGAATAATACTGCCTCTGGGCCAGTAGCTATTAGACATCATGAAAGCTAGAAAGGGGAAAGCGGGGAAATGCCCCCTACGTGCTTCAGGTGTTCTCTACAAAGAGCTCCAGAATCTATACACCCTTACAATCTCAAGTTGTCCTTAGGGCTTAGATATTTCAAGCCCTCCAAAGTTGCATCCAATTTTTATTTGAGCAGTGAGATTGTACCTTTAATTAATTTCAATTATGTCTCCTAAAGGGATCACTAGGAGGTGTTAACACCATATTAATGAATTAATATCTCATTTTCTCTATTATTACTTCGAATGCACTTGAAAGCAGGGTATAAAATCCCCTCTTACACAAGATTTTGTGTACACACACACACACACACACAGAGACATATATTTATATATTTAGTTTATCTGTGTGTATGGTGTGTCCCCTTCCCTACCCCAACCCCTCCCAGTATAATTTAAGTTCCTTAAGGACACTGTCTATACCTCTTTTAGTTTGCATCCCTAGTGACTAATACAGTGCCTTCCATATAGAAAACAGTTGATAAATGTTTGCTGAAAATTGAGTTCAACTGAGTTTCTTAATCTGTAAAATGAAGGGCTGAATGAACTGAGCTATAAATGCCCCTCAAGCTCCAAACACTCTGTGACCCTAATGGTTTGAAAATATACAGAGCACATTTTGCTACAGGATTAATAAACTCATCTTTCTAAGAATATAATAAAACAGAAGAAGTAAGAGATCTTTCTGTTGGAGTCTCTGAGTTTAAAGCTTATATTTTATGAGAAAAAAATATTTTTCCAGTTCAGTATCAAAACATGGCACCAACTTACTGACAGCCCCAATACACATAGACCGGGAAAAAAAGGTTGTCTAATGGTATGCCTAAGGATACTAATAAAATGACTTGGGAAACTGAGACATAGCTAGGGAAAATATATTCTACTAACAATCACTGATAGAGGTTTTAATATTTTAACCTCCCAAATTCCCTGAGTTTCTCATAAATGCACGAGTTACCATCCATGCATCATCGATGCAGCACTTCAGGGTACAATAAATTAAGGTTCTTAACTGGAAAGAGATTTCCCCAGTTGTACAGTTCAGCCACAACATCATAACAGCTTTACATAAACTAAAGGGGCAGTCTGGTTTCAAATGGAATGTCAGAGATAAGTGAAACTCCCCATTCTGATACTTTTTAGCTTCATAGGCTTCTTCCTGTAGGCCTTTCACAATGGCCTTAGGGTTATTACTGGACAACCTTCAGCTCCAGATTTCCAGAAGGCTGAAGTTGGCAGCATTGGAGGAGGAGTTCAATGAAAGTAAAACCAAAAAACAGAAAGACAATGAACAGCAAAATGGTGTTCTAAAGGAGTGAATGAGCAAATGTGGAGGAGATGAAAACCAGAATAGCATACTTTGCATTTCCCTTCAGAAGGACCAAGTCCTGGATCTTAATGATCTGTTCCACATGGTGGGCGATGCCC